GGTATTCCTTTTAAGTGTTTCATGTCATCTTAAATATTGCTTTCCCCTTGACTGATATCAGGAACAATGAGGTTTCTAGCCTTTCCCCAGCTTAATTTAATAACACAAGATGAGCTCTGTTACAATTTCTGGGTTTAAACAGTCACTAACAGCCAACAGTCACTAACCTGATCCTATAAATTAATTGGAGTGTTTTATATGATACACAATAGGTAACGTCCACCTCTAAAATACAACATATATAATTAAAGGACCACTCAAAAATTTAAAAAAAAAAAGAAAAAAAAAAGAACCCCATCATCTACTAAATTTACCTCCAATGAATAAATGCATGTATATTTGTATGCATGTATTCATTGGGGGTAGAGTTTAAAACAGCTTGCAAAAGCTGCAGTTCTTGTGACTGCAGCCTTTTTAATCCCTCCCCTTTTTCACAGGAAGTGACTTTCAGTCACTTCACAGAGAATTGTCCAATTAGAGGCTTCTCATAGAGCTCTTTCTCTCCCTCCCCTCCATGTCAAAGCCTCCCTTCTCTCCCTGTGGCAAATCCTCCCTTCCTCTCCTTTCCATGTGGCAAAGTCCCCTCTCCCTTCCCTGTGACAGAGGTTACCTCCTCCCTCCCCTTCCTCTCCTTGTGTAAAAGCTCCCCCCGCACCTTGCAGTTGCCAATCCATGGGTAGAGGATCTTTAGTTTCCTATACCCAGACTGAGAGGAAGTGTCCTCACTTCCTGTCAGTCCGTGTACAGGAGACTAAAGCTTCTCCACCCAAGGATCAGCAACTAAAGGTTAGCAGTGGAGGATGGAGGCTCTGACACAGGGATGGCAGACGGGACAGATGCTGCAAGAACTGACAAGAAGGAGGGGATTGCTAACCCTCCTGTGTGTCACCCGAGCAGTTCTTGCAGCCAGTATTGTAAGGCAGGCACACGCTCTTAGAACATGTCTGCTATTTCCTTTTTGCTCAGTGGAGCTAATGGAAGTAGGAAGTGAATCTCCCCAGCTATTTGATTGACAGCTGGGAAGGTGTTTCTTTTTTCAGATGTAAAAGTGATAATTTCACAATGAAATTGGCACTTTTATAAATGGGGACTTTAAAGGGATACTCCACAGCCATATAGCAATTCAGCAAGCTGAAGATCTCTATGGATGTGAAGTGCTCCTTTAATAAACAAACAATGAATCAAACAAATTAAGTAATATATAACTCAATGAGCAGACTTCTTTGGTGGCCAACCAGTAATAAGATTGGAAATCTATCAATAAATAGAAGACTCTACTAGCCACTGGCTGTTAAGAGCAGCAACATGTTGGACTGGATATGGATTGCATTTGGTATTAGAAATGCCTAAATATATCCCAAGCCCTGGTAAACTGTAAAACCTTGGTCCCAAACCCAATAAGACCTCCTTATTCCTCAAGGACACTTGCTATAGCTGAACTGGCTATTGGTTTGTTGAGTATCACATTTTACTGCATGTGAGAAATATGGCTAAGTCAAAAGAATGATCCACAAAATTAAGAGAAGAGATCATTGTCCTTCACAAACAAGAAACAAGGCAGAAAGAGGAATCTATCCTGCAACCAGATTTCTGAGAAAGAAGGTTGTATAAAAACTTTGAGCAATAATTTGTGGCAACAGGCACTGAGGTTTCAGTGAGCACACTAAGGTGTGTACTAAACATAGAATGTTTCCATGCCAGAACTCCGAGACGTACACCACTATGGACCCAAAAGCACAAGAAAAGTCAGATCCAATATACTGAAAATCTTACAAGTAAGCCACAGAAGTTTAAGGATTCTGTCCTGTGGGGCGATGAAACAAAATTGGAACTTTTTAAAACATTAGAACTGCAATATGTTGGGAGGAAGAATAATGAATCATACGCTGAGAAGAACACTCTGCCTACAGTTAAGTATGGTGGTGACTCGGTGATGTTCTGGGGCTGCTCTGCATACTCTGGCACTGGAAACCTGCAGCATGTGGAAGGCAAGATAGATTCATTGAAGTATCAGTATCCTAGGAGAAAAAGTCATGCCATCTGTGAGGAAGCTGAAGCTTGGGCCTCATTGGACCTTCAAACAAGACAATGATCCCAAGCATAGCTCAAACTCCACCAAGGCTTGGTCACCTGACTTGAACCCCATGGAAAATCTCTGGTGAGATTTGAAGAAGGCGGTTGCAGCACGCAAAGCCAAGAATATTACTGAACAGGAGGCCAAAGCTCATGAGAAATGGGCTAAGATTCCTCAGGAATGGTTTCTGGCTATGCATCTCCTTTGCAGCAGGTCATAACTGCAAAAGGGTGCTCTACTAAGTACTAAATGTACTTGCCATGAAGGAATTGAATAATCTCGATATTGGAGAAGTCATTATAAGTTACATTTCCAGTTGAGTTTGGGAAAACCACTTTAGACATTTGTTGTGTTGAGCTATTTCAATTCATTTTGTTTGGTTTGTTCATGGCAAACAGCTGAAAGTCTATAAATTTGGAGAATAAACCTGTTTTTTCCATAGGGGTTGAATCATTTTGATTAGAACTAAATGTACTGAATCCCCCTACTGATATCAGCCAGCTGTCCTATTAATACTCTATAGTTTGGAAGAAACTACTTTTAAAAGAATAGGAAAAGAATTTCTGAGAAATATGTTTGGGTGAAATGACAATTCTATCAATCATTCTGGTTTATGAAAGGCAGTTTACAAGTAAAAGCAAAATAAATTGAGACTTAGAAAAATAATCAAGAAAAAAAATGAAAACATGCAGAATTTTAAATGTGCAACAATTAATATGCTTTACTACATGGTGAATGAACACAAGTAAAGGAAAGCAACGTAAGTGAAAAAAATGAATAAATTCAACTAAGATTAAAATGCAATCAGCTTCAGTTGCACTATAGCAACCACATAAAATCCATAAAATGAAAGTAAATAAACTGTAGTGGTATGCCAGGATAGAACCAGTACTGTGCCGCGCCACATTGAGCGAAGAGGAATTATCATGGGCTGCACATAAAATATATTGCATAATTCACTTATAATAAAACTTCAAAAGCTCTTTCCTTAATTTTGATATTAATATGTTCTACAAGTAATCTCAAAATGGGACTGTTTTTGTCACAGTACTTTCTGCTAGTTTTGCAGAACTATAAATTTCAGAAGACTGACAAAGGTACGGTGGCAGAAAAAAGTTGTGACACTACACTTTACCGTGATAAAAAGTCACAGAAAGGTTGATAAAGCCATTGCATCACTAAAAGGTGGTGGTGTGTAATAAAAAATGTTAAAGGACCACTATAGTGCCAGGAAAACATACTCATTTTCCTGGCACTATAGTGCCCTGAGGGTGCCCCCACCCTCAGGGACCCCCTCCCGCCAGGCTCTAGGGGGAGGAAGGGGTTAAACTTATCTCTTTCTCCAGCGCCGGGCAGGGAGCTCTCCTCCTCCTCTCCAGCCTCCTCTCCTCCTCTTCGGCTGAATGCGCACGCGTGGCAGGAGCCGAGCGCGCATTCAGCCAGTCCATAGGAAAGCATTCAAAATGTTTTCCTGTGGACGCTGGCATCTTCTCACTGTGAAAATCACAGTGAGAAGTGCGGAAGCCCTCTACCGGCTGTCAATGAGACAGCCACTAGAGGCTGGATTAACCCATTTCTATATGTTTATAGAAAAAAGGGTTAACCCTAGCTGGACCTGGCACCCAGACCACTTCATTAAGCTGAAGTGGTCTGGGTGCCTATAGTGGTCCTTTAAACCATTTTATATAAATGAAAGCTCTTAACGAAGTTCAAATAGTAGCTTTGTGTTAGCTACTAAAAAATACCATTACCGGGTTACCGCCTACTGACATTCCATATTTAAATATACTAAAATAGAATTAAAAATAATCTACACAGCATTTAAACTATTTGATTTTATCACCAGACATGGTGACAGCAATATATTACTTGGACGTTTGCCATTTCTTTAACTTTTATTGTATTTCATGATTGCAGCATGTCCTTATGGAATGGTTCAAGAATGGCTTTTACATAACTTTTGTGACCTGATTTGACTTAAAATAAAGAAATCAGAAAACATTTTATTTAATGTATATTTATTTTTATTTTAGTGCAGAGTTGTGTATTCTATGTTTACAGTGGTAAATAGAGGTCTGTTTTTATCAGTATAGATCTACTTGTATTCAAGTTAAAAACGTCATGCCAGGTCAATTAAATCCCAATATTCCCTCAGAGTTCCTATATTTATGTACAGTTAGGGAAAGTGTAGGAGAGTCAGCAAGGCAGTGATAGCTATCAGAAAACAAAGAGAGGTTTAGCCACTCCAAGGTTCAAGCAGGCAATTTTATTCGAACCAGGTTTAGTTGCACCCTGGCTCATAGTAATGGAATTGAGTGCAGTTCCTAATTTATCTCAGAAAAGTGATAGCTATGAGGACCAGATCAAATGTGCAGAGTAGTAGCACAGTTTCACTTGTGTTAAAGGGCCAAACCTTTCCAACACAGATCTTAAAGGGATTCTGTGGTCTCCCTTAAACATAATAATTTTGCTTCCTGCATGAGATTCAACATGTGGAAAGAATTTGAAGGGATTGAAAGACATGTGCCTTTTTACCTAGGTATAAACATGGGCAGAGGGGGGCAAGAGGGGGCACTTGCTTCCCCTGGATTTTTCGACTTGTCCACTTAACACAGAAAATTTTCCCTAGGACTGTGACAGTTCAGTCCGAGGGAAAGAAGGAGGGAGGTGCTGGGATCTTGAGGGAGGTGCATTGAGAGGCTCCCTCCTGAATCCCCAGCAAATGGGTGCCAATATGCCCCACCCTGTGTTCAGGCCACACCTACTATATGCAAGCCCCACCCTCAAAAGCTCTGCCCCCACACTGCTGATCTTGCCAGAAGGAAGAGGACTGAACATGGAGACTTCACCTCCCAGTCTCCCACAGCCTTCTGTGACAGGTAGGCTTCAGCCCATGAAAGTGATTGTGTGTGTGTGTGCCTGCTAGTGAGTGAGCTTGTATGTGCGTCAGTGAGTTTGTAGTGAGCATGTGTGTTACTGAGCTTGTCTGTAGTGAGCATGTGTGTCAGTTAGCTTGTCTGTAGTGAGCATGTGTATGTGTCAGTGAGCTTGTAGTGATCATGTGTGTGTCAGTGAGCTTGTCTGCAGGGTTTCCTAAAGAAATTTTGGGGCCCCTGACGCAGCTTAAGTTCTGGGCCTCTGGGGCCCGCCCCTGAGGTCGCCCATTGGTCCGCCCTCAAGTCTGCCCTCTGATACTACCTCCGAGTCCACCTACAGGGCCCATCCTGAGTCCACTTACAAGGATGAAGTGTTTGTGTACTGAATATGGTGTGTGTATAGGGGATGTAGAATGTATAAAGTGGATGCAGAGTGCGTGTGTGTCATGGATGCAGTGTGTATAGTGGCTGTAGATTGTACATTTGTTTAGTGGATGTAGTGTTTCTGTGTATTAGATGCAGTGTGTATAGTGACTGCAGAGTGTGTATAGTGAATGCAGAGTGTGTGTTTGTGGAGTAGATGTAGTGTGCGTAGTGGATGTAGTGTGTGTAGGGCTGTATTGTGTGTAGTAGATGTAGTGTGTGTAGTGAATGCAGAGTGTGTATTTGTGCAGTGTGTGTAGTGTGTATAGTGACTTCAGAGTGTTTGTTTGTATAAGGATGTAGTGTGTGTGTGTATAGTGACTGGAGTGTAAGGATGTATCATGTGTATAGTGACTGCAGAGTGTGTGTTTGTGTAAGGATATAGTGTGTATAGTGATTGGAGTGTGCTTTTGTGTAAGGATGTAGTGTGTGTATAGTAACTGAAGAGTGTGTATTTCTGTAAGGATGTAGTATGTGTATAGTGACTGCAGATTGTGTTTGTGTAAGGATGTAGTATGTGTAGTGACTGCAGAGTGTATGTTTGTGTAAGTATGTAGCATGTATAGTGACTGCAGGATGTGTGTTTGTATTGTGGATGTAGTGTCTGTATAGTGACTGCAGAGTGTGTGTTTGTGTAAGGATATAGTGTGTGTAGTGACTGCAGTGTGTGTGTTTGTGTAGTGGATATAGTGTGTGTGTGTGTGTGTGTGTGTAAATAGTGACTGCAGTATGTGTGTTTACATAGAGGATGTAGTGCGTGTGTGTAAATAGTGACTGCAGAGTGTGTGTTTGTGTAGTGGAAGTAGTGTGAGTGTAAATAGTGACTGCAGTGTGTGTGTTTCTGTAAGGATGTAGTGTGTGTATAGTGACTGCAGAGTGGATATATGTGTAAGAATGAAGTGTGTGTAGTGACTGCAGAGTGGATGTTTGTGTAAGTATGTAGTGTGTGTAGTGACTGCAAAATGTGTGTTTGTGTCGTGGATGTAGTGTGTGTATAGTGACTGCAGACTGGGTATTTGTGTAAGGATGAAGTGTGTGTAGTGACTGCAGAGTGGATGTTTGTGTAAGTATGTAGTGTGTGTAGTGACTGCAAAATGTGTGTTTGTGTTGTGGATGTAGTGTGTGTAGTGACTGTAGAGTGTGTGTTTGTGTGAGGATGTAGTGTGTGTATGAACAGTGACTGCAGTGTGTGTGTTTGTGTAGTGGATGTAGTGTCTGTATAGTGACTGCAGAGTGTGTGTTTGTGTAAGGATATAGTGTGTGTAGTGACTGCAGTGTGTGTGTTTGTGTAGTGGATATAGTGTGTGTGTGTGTAAATAGTGACTGCAGTATGTGTGTTTACATAGAGGATGTAGTGCGTGTGTGTAAATAGTGACTGCAGAGTGTGTGTTTGTGTAGTGGAAGTAGTGTGAGTGTAAATAGTGACTGCAGTGTGTGTGTTTCTGTAAGGATGTAGTGTGTGTATAGTGACTGCAGAGTGGATATATGTGTAAGGATGAAGTGTGTGTAGTGACTGCAGAGTGGATGTTTGTGTAAGTATGTAGTGTGTGTAGTGACTGCAAAATGTGTGTTTGTGTAAGTATGTAGTGTGTGTATAGTGACTGCAGACTGGGTATTTGTGTAAGGATGAAGTGTGTGTAGTGACTGCAGAGTGGATGTTTGTGTAAGTATGTAGTGTGTGTAGTGACTGCAAAATGTGTGTTTGTGTAAGGATATAGTGTGTGTAGTGACTGCAGTGTGTGTGTTTGTGTAGTGGATATAGTGTGTGTGTGTGTAAATAGTGACTGCAGTATGTGTGTTTACATAGAGGATGTAGTGCGTGTGTGTAAATAGTGACTGCAGAGTGTGTGTTTGTGTAGTGGAAGTAGTGTGAGTGTAAATAGTGACTGCAGTGTGTGTGTTTCTGTAAGGATGTAGTGTGTGTATAGTGACTGCAGAGTGGATATATGTGTAAGGATGAAGTGTGTGTAGTGACTGCAGAGTGGATGTTTGTGTAAGTATGTAGTGTGTGTAGTGACTGCAAAATGTGTGTTTGTGTAAGTATGTAGTGTGTGTATAGTGACTGCAGACTGGGTATTTGTGTAAGGATGAAGTGTGTGTAGTGACTGCAGAGTGGATGTTTGTGTAAGTATGTAGTGTGTGTAGTGACTGCAAAATGTGTGTTTGTGTTGTGGATGTAGTGTGTGTAGTGACTGCAGAGTGTGTGTTTGTGTAAGGATGTAGTGTATATGTGTATAAATAGTGACTGCAGTGTGTGTGTGTTTGTGTAGTGGATGAAGTGTGTGTGTAAATAGTGACTGTGGTGTGTGTGTGTTTGTGTAGTGAATGTAGTGTGTGTGTGTGTGTAAATAGTCACTGCTGTATGTGTCTGTATAAGGATGTAGTGTGTGTGTGTAAATAGTGACTGCAGTGTGTGTCTGTGTAAGGATGTAGTGTGTGTAAATGTTGTGGGGCTGCATATTGTGGGGGAGAGAAGGAGCATGTATATTTTTTCCATTTCTTGTAATATATGTTACTCCCCCCCCCCCCTCCGCTGCTTACCTGTGGCCAGGGAGAGGGAGGTCACACCAGTCCATGCCCCCCAGGACCACCGAGCCCATGACAACCATGGTTGTCATGCCCTGATGGTGGCCCTGCTTGTCTGTAGTGAGCATGTGCATGTGTCAGTGAGCGTGCCTGTAGGGAACTTGTGTGTGTGTTAGTAAGTTTGTAGTGAGTATGTGTGTGTCAGCAAGCTTGTCTGTAGTGAGCATGTGTGTGTGTCAGTGAGCTTGTCTGTAAGTGAACATGTGTGTGCCAGTGAGTTTGTAGTGGGCATGCATGTGTCAGTGAGCTTGTCTGTAGTGAGCATCTGTGTGTGTGTCAGTTAGCTTGTCTGTAGTGAGCATGTGTGTGTGTGTGTGTGTCAATAAGCTTGTAGTGAGCATATGTGTGTTAGTGAGCTTGTCTGTAGTGAGCATGCGTGTGTCAGTGATCTTGTCTGTAGTGAACTTGTTTGTGTGTGTCAGCTAGCTTTTCTGTAGTGAGCATGTGTGTCAGTGAGTGTGTCTGTAAGTGAGCTTGTGTATGTCAGTGAGTTTTTCTGTAGTACACATTTCTGTGTGTCAGTGAACTTGTCTGTAGTGAGCATGTGTGTGTGACAATGAGCTTGCCTGTAGTGAACCTGTGTGTGTGTGCATGTGTCAGTGAGTTTGTCTGTATTGAGCATGTGTGTAAGTGATCTTTTCTGTAGTGAGAATGTGTGTATGACAGTGAGTTTGTAGTGAGCATATGTGTGCCAGTGAGCTTGTCTGTAGTGAATGTGTGTCAGTGACCATGTGTGTGTATGTCAGTAAGTTTGTCTGTAGTGAGTATATGTGTCAGTGAGCTTTCCTACAGTGAGCAAATGTGTCAGTGAGCTTTTCTGTAGGAAGCAAATGTGTGTCAGAAAGCTTTTTTTTTTTTAAAAAATTGGATGTTATGGGCTGACAATTTTTTAAAGAGTCAATACAGACCCCCAAAGAACTTTTGCTTGCTGAAAAGTTTTAAGTGTGAAGAATGTGTCCTCTTTTTCTCATTTTCCAAAAAGTGGATATTTCAATATTTCATATTTCAGTGAGATTGTCTGTCAGTGAACCTATTTGTGTGTATCAGTGAGCTTGTGTTTTTATGTCAATGAGCGTATGTGTATCAATGAGAATGAGCTTGTGTGCTTGTGTCAGTGAGATTGTCTGTGTCTGCATGTGAGTATGCTTACTGTATAATTATTTTTTTTTTACACTGACAGAACCAATATTTTAGAAAAAGAAACATACCAATAATAAATATATATATACATACACACACAAGCACACACACACACAACATGGCACAATGACTTATGGGGCTGGCATATATTTATGCATTTTTTTTTCCAGGGCTGCTTTGTATCCCCAGTCCATCCATGCAAAAAGGGGTTGAGCATTGATGTCATTACAATTATGCCCCCACCATCCCCCAGGAAAAATTCCTATGGACGCCCATGGGTATAAGTAAATAGTAAATATTTTCACTGATATCGTACACTGGGTGTCTACAGTGCTTACATGGTCCCTTTAAAAAATATTGTATGTTTTAAAAACTATTTTCCTCATGCCTAGAAATATAATTTTTGCTCACATTTTCCACATTCTAACTCAGCACGTTTCAATTTTCTTTCAACAAGCCAACTTTGCTTGTCTCTTCATGATAGCAGTTGTTCAAATGTTAATAATGCAAGCAAACTGAATCATGTCTGCCATAAATGCTGTGTTTGCAGAAAGTGGAACAAATTAGATCAGTTTTATGACAGAGTATACGAGTCATGTGACCAAACAAGGTTTTTTGCACTTAGCAATAGCTGTTGGTAATGTCTACAGAAATTATGTTGACAATCAATCAGAGTAAAATTGTCTCTTCTATTAGTGGTGATTTAGTGTTGTAAAATATTACTATTATAAAATATAAAACCAAAATAACTTTATACTCTGGCTTTAAGAAAATTGAAAAGCAAATAATTAAAGGAACACTTTAGTGTAGTGTTAACACAAACGTGTATTTCTGAACTTGTAGTGTTATACCACCACCTCCTCACCCCCCTTAAATGGTAATAAAACTTACCTTATTTCCAGTGCCGCTCGGATCCTGCCCCTGTCGTGATCTGCCTCTTTGGCTAACATTGTCAGAAGTGATGATCTCAGCCAACCCAATGCTTTCCCATTGGAAATGCATTGGATTGGCTGAGATCGTCAAAGAGGCGGGGCAGGGGCTGGGCCAAACACCAGCTTGGCCAATCAGCATCATCTTATAGAGATGCATTGAATCAATGTATCTTTATAGGGAAAGTTCAGCATCTCAATGCACAGCGTGGAGACTCTGAACATTAGTGCTGCACCCAGTGCTCTAGTGTGAAAGCTTCCTTCTATTGTGAGTATTTTCAGGACAAATCCTTTGATGACAAGACTTAAAAGGTTTCTCCAAGCACCATGACAATTTCATTGATTTGAAGTGGTCATGGTGCCGGAAGTCTGAATGCAGTGTTTTGTAATGAAATGCTGCACATGCAAATGTGCCCTTAGCTCAACTCCAGCTGCATTATTAGCAAGCTCAGAACAAAGTTCCTGACTGGCAAATATCATTCTGTGCAAAATTGGGATCTGATGCTATCATGCACAGCATGTTAGCACCAGACGGCTAATGTCAGAATGACCCCTTCCCCCTACCTTTGTCCTCCACTTGGCATGTCCTCCATGACCTCCATGAATGATGTAAGTGGAGAAAGATCAGGGATAGGGATAACCTTTTAGGGCAGACTAGATGGGCCAAATGGTTCTTATCTGCCGTCACATTCTATGTTTCTATGTTTCTATGTTAACCTGGGAATAATCCTTTTATTTAGGGTGTTACTTGCAGCTATATACACTGCTCAAAAAATAAAGGGAACACAAAAATAACACATCCTAGATCTGAATGAATTAAATATTCTTCTGAAATACTTTGTTCTTTACATAGCTGAATGTACTGACAACAAAATCACACAAAAATTAAAAAATGGAAATCAAATTTTTCAAACCATGGAGGTCTGGATTTGGAGTCACACTCAAAATTAAAGTGGTAAAACACACTACAGGCTGATCCAACTTTGATGTAATGTCCTTAAAACAAGTCAAAATGAGGCTCAGTAGTGTGTGTGGCCTCCACGTGCCTGTATGACCTCCCTACAATGCCTGTGCATGCTCCTGATGAGGTGGCGGATGGTCTCCTGAGGGATCTCCTCCCAGACCTGTACTAAAGCATCTGCCAACTCCTGGACAGTCTGTGGTGGATGGAGCGAGACATGATGTCCCAGATGTGCTCAATTGGATTCAGGTCTGGGGAACGGGCGGGCCAGTCCATAGCATCAATGCCTTCATCTTGCAGGAACTGCTGACACACTCCAGCCACATGAGGTCTAGCACTGTCTTGCATTAGGAGGAGCCCAGGGCCAACCGCACCAGCATATGGTCTCACAAGGGGTCTGTACCTAATGTCAGTCAGGCTACCTCTGGCGAGCACATGGAGGGATGTACGACCCCCCAAAGAAATGCCACCCCACACCATTACTGACCCACTGCCAAACCGGTCATGGTGGAGGATGTTGCAGGCATGCAGACTTTGTCCATGGCGTCTCCAGACTTTGTCATGTCCGTCACATGTGCTCAGTGTGAACCTGCTTTCATCTGTGAAGAGCACAGGGTGCCAGTGGCAAATTTGAAAATCTTGGAGTTTTCTGGCAAATGCCAAACGTCCTGCACGGTGTTGGGCTGTAAGCACAACCCCCACCTGTGGATGTCGGGCCCTCATACCACCCTCAAGGAGTCTCTTTCTGACCGTTTGAGCATACAAATGCACATTTATGGCCTGCTGGAGGTCATTTTGAAGGGCTCTGGCAGTGCTCCTCCTGTTCATCCTTGCACAAAGGCAGAGGTAGCAGTCCTACTGCTGGGTTGTTGCCCTCCTATGGCCTCCTCCACCTCTCCTGATGTACTGGCCTGTCTCCTGGTAGCGCCTCCATGCTCTGGACACTACGCTGACAGACACAGCAAACCTTCTTGCCACAGCTCGCATTGATGTGCCATCCTGGATGAGCTGCACTACCTGAGCCACTTGTGTGGGTTGTAGACTCCATCTCATGCTACTACTAGAGTGAAAGCACCGCCAGCATTCAAAAGTGACCAAAACATGAGCCAGGAAGCATAGGAACTGAGAAGTGGTCTGTGGTCACCACCTGCAGAACCACTCCTTTATTGGGGGTGTCTTGCTAATTGCCTATAATTTCCACCTGTTGTCTATCCCATTTGCACAACAGCATGTGAAATTGAATGTCACTTAGTGTTGCTTCCTAAGTGCACAGTTTCATTTCACAGAAGTGTGATTGACTTGGAGTGACATTGTGTTGTTTAAGTGTTCCCTTTATTTTTTTGAGCAGTGTATATTAAGAATGCTCAACCTTTTATTGTACTAAATAGATAGATAAAAATATGATATATAAAAATTATTTTTAGCTATGTATTATCCATCCGTCTGTCCATCAATCCATCCATGTTTGTAGGAATGTGCTATCTAATCATACCTCTTGTCATTTCACAAATATCACAGCTAACATATTCACGCAGCCTTATTCTGTAACATATTGCAGAACTATATGCAAATTTCTGACCGACTTTCAAATATTTTTGAATGGGACTTTGTTGGTTAATCATCTGCAGATTCTAACTCGGGCACAGGAAAAGTAACTAGGTGTACTTTGCTTCCTCAGACTTTCCTTTGCTGTATAGAATGGCTATGACATCATTATGTCGTAAATCACAGAGTGAAACCACTTCTTGAATGAAACTACATTTGCTGTTTTGAAGAGGAAACCCCAATATGTGCTACAGCTCTATAATATATAAAAGACTGGTGTCGTTGGGGGGATTTGATGTCATCAGTGATTGAAAATAAATTATCTGTTTCAAAGCTACAACTGATTTGAAAAGTATGCATAGGAACGCACGAGGAAAAACTTTAATATCTGGTAAAACATTACCAAAAACATTTAATATAACTAACTCAAATAAATACATTGTAAATTAATTGTAATCTCCCTCACCCATCCACCACCTAGCTAATTATTTTTAACCCTGTCATTGCTTTAAATATAAATAATTAGCCATAGCTAATCTTGACTTACCTAGAAATAATAATAGTAATAAGTGTGTTTGTACTTAAAAAATGCTTTAACAAAAAATGCACTTATCCAAAGTTATCACCAAATTTCTTAACTCCACATCAGTTCATACTACATGCTTTTACAAGATTTTTGAAACAAAGCACAGAGCAGCTAAACACATTAAGAACTTTCAATTATGAAATTTGCCCAATCTGAGAACATTTCAGACATGCTCAGTATGTTCCCAGAACTGATTTTTGCCACAATTAGTCTCCAGTAGACTAAATTTGACACCTATTGTATAATAGTTTAACATTTTTACAATGTAGTCAAGAGTAGCGAACTGAACATTTTATTGCATAAGGTTGTGAGTTCAATTCTTGCATGATGAGTTTATTTACAGCTTATTCTGTGCACATCAGATTTAGGGGTTGTGTTGTCAATCCCTGCATTGTGATACATATTTATATATTTTTTTTCAGTTTTCTACAAATGTAATATATGTAATATATTATCAAATTCATATTCCAATATCAGACACATATTACTTTAATATATGCAGTAAATGTCATTATTTAAACTTGAACACACCACATTAAGAAGGGGAGGGCTTGCAAAGGCTGCAGACAAGAGAACTGCAGGTTTTGCAAACTGATTTTAGATATATACCCAATGACAAAATACATAATAAAATATGTGCAGGTTTTCATTTGGGCTATAATTATATGGTTTTAACCCTTTCGGTGCAAGAGGTGTGTCGTTTATATTGCTTTGCAATGTGCTGGCCATATCTCTGGAACTCAAAAGGTTAAATGGTTTTATTATGTTGGCTATTTTGATATATAAATTAGTCTTCTTTAGGTGGAATCTGACATCGGTGGATGAACACATCAATTTTTCTTAATCCGCAAATCATCAGATGGGGTTTTTATCACAATGTTGGCAGGAAGGAACATTGCATCATGAGTGTTTGCTCAGCATTTTTGATGATGTATCCAAGGAATTTAAATCAATATGTATACTCATGTTTTAACTACCATATGTAACACCTACTAACTTTGTTTACCAGGGTAATTTGCTCAGACATTTTATCCCCACAATATTTTTGTAAAAGTTGACCCATTAAAGGGAAACCTAAAGTGGGTACATTTTTATAATTTCACAATTTTTATTATCAATAAACAACAATTTATAGAATAAATTATTGTTCATTTCTATGTTTATGTGTTTAAATAAAATATTGAAGAAACATTGTATAGGGAAGAGTTTTCATCGTTAATTGTTTAGCAGTTTTGTATCGAATAATATTCGATGTACATGTAATCTCTACAGATCCCACATTATGGGCAAAACAGCTTAAAAACTGCTCTTCCACAACTGACTCACTAATAGTGAAAACACAGTCGTATTCTAACATTCTGACTGAGCCTCAGATTATATCAGTTAATGATTAATCTGCAACTTCCAATACAGGTATAGGAAGTTCATCGGTAAATGTTTGATTGCCTTAGACTTTCCTGTAATTTGCAGCTGGGCTAAATTGTAATTATGATGAAAAAAAAAATTACAGAGGAAAACCAGATTTAGAAATTAAACCACATGGTGGAAACCCCACTCTAAACTGAATCTCTATAAAATGGCAAGGTCTATACAGGCACAACTCACAGAACACACCTGTGGACTCTTCCTTCACTCAGAAGAACAGACAACACAAAGACATCAATATGGTGAGCCAGTGGAGTCGCTGCATGGTGAGTTGTCTTCAGACACCTTTTCAGTTCTAAAACCCTTTTTTGGTTGTAAGATGTAACAATAAGTGCAAGTTACAGTAGTTACATGTGTCTTAATATACAGTTCTCTATCAGATCTAAAAGGATTTATTACTTTTAACTAAATTGCTATTGATTGACCTATGTAGCTTATATCAATAAAATATTTTATTAACCAACAGCAAGAAAAATATTGATATGAGTGAAACTTTTTGTATATTTGAGAGTCCTGCTTGTTTGAGTTTATTGTTTGGGATTTATATTACATAATTATATTTTCTGTTTAATTTTTTTCAGGTGCATTGCATGTTGTTGGCCATTACCCTGGTAATTAGCACGGTGAACTCTGCTCATATCAACAAGCCATGTTATCACACAGGAGACACACAGTTCCCATCAGTGATTAATGTCACCTTGAACAATATCGGCCAATCTCCATCAGCAGGTCCGGAGGTCAGGATGCGATCTCTCTCACCTTGGAATTACAGGTAATGGTCATTTAAATTATCTCTCTGGATTCAAGCACTTCTCATTGACTATAAAACTACTTTATCACCAATGGAATGCATTGCTGATATTGCGTTCTCTCATTTGCAAATTATGTATCTCTCTTATCTTATTGTTTCATGGAATTTGTGCCCAAACTATTGGATTGTATAATCTAGAATCAGTATTTTTCATACTGAAGAGTTTATAAACTTACATTTCTGAATTCAATACTCTTTTTTTTTTTAATGTTTTGGGTGACCTCACTGATATCTGTTAGTGTGATGGAGGAATTCACAGTTTTATCTGTGATCATTAAAAAAAAAAGGAAGAATTTCAGATTGGAGGATAAAAAGTGTAACAGGGTTTGTCACTGATGTGAGAACTGCTTTGAATTCAATGCTTTGTTCTTGGAGAGAAGGAGTCAAGACACTGTAATTGTTTTAAAATACAACTTCCTTTTCAAATGTGTGAACTTGCATTTCTTCCTTTTTTAGCATTGATGTAGAGTTCAACAGATACCCTTCAAGAATTGCTATTGCTAAATGCCGCCATCAGCGGTGTGTGGATGCTGATGGTAAATTGATGCATAGCAGAAATTCCGCTGAGATCAAACAGGAGATCCTGGTTGTGTATCGAGAAATGAAAGACTGTAAACCGACCTACAGACTGCAGAAGAAGTTGATTACTGTGGGCTGTACCTGTGTCCGACCTGATGAAACGAGCTAATCTTTCCTGGAGTCACCAGAGAAATCCTTATGAGTGAAATCGGAATATTTCCCAGTTAACTTAGATGCATTGTGTTAATGCGTGATAAATGTAACACTTTGAAAGTGTGACTTGTAACAATGCATGCTGCATTATAAAATCCATTGGTATTTGTTATTATATATTTATAGGATGAATATTCTATTTCATTGTGACTTATTTATTATTTATGATAAAAAACCTTTAAAATATCTAATAAAGTACATAAAAAAACACGACATATGTGTATTACATTTATTGCATGTGACCAGAAACATATAAGATGAGAGAAATGCATGAATAACCACTGCTTTAGGATACTAAAATTGTTAAGAACGTATAGAACAGAGTACAATGGTGGGCATATAATATCCCAAAACACAAGATTGTATGTAAATTGCATGTAATCCCCCACATGGCGCAAATGCAGAAACTTGCTACATTTACTCCTTTAGAATTTAGATTATAGGTATTCCTTTTAAGTGATTCATGTCACCTTAAATATTGTTTTTCCATTGACTGATATCAGGTACAATTAGGTTTCTAGCCTTTTCCCAGCTTAATTTAATAACACGAGAAGAGTCAATTTCTGAGTTAAACAGTTACTAACAGCCAACAGTAGTCACTAACCTGATCCTATATATTAATTGGAGTGTTTTTATGATACACAATAGGTAAAGTCCACCTCTAAAATACAACATATATAATTAATAAACAAACAATTAACCAAACAAATAAAGAAATATAACACTTGATAGTCAAGGATAAAAAGGGAATACTTGGATGAGCCTGGTTCTGATTGAGCAGACTTGGAGACGAGTTGTCTGTCTGCTGGAGGGGAAGCCCCAATAGGGCCAACAAGGCCAAATATGAGCTTGTCTCCAGTGGTGTCGTTACATTTTATCAGCCAGCCACTACTCACTATGATACCTGTGGCAACTGTTAGTGAGTAGCGGCAGTTTACTGCCAGTAAAGCCAGTCTCTAAGTAGCAGCTAATGACTCCCATTGTTCTCTACTTAATGACTGGTTTACAATGAATTTTCAACCCTGTTGCTGCCATTAACCCTTACAACTTAACACCAGCATCTGTTAACAAAAGTTATACCAATATATTCTGTAGGACAAAATACATGTTAGCAAGATGGCGTTATATGGAAACACTAAAGCACAAATCAAAGAATATGAAACCATAACAAGAGAAAATATAATATAATAAAATGGCTGGGACATGATATAAAACATAAAATAATTCCTTTCAATAAGTAAATTGCATGTGTCATTTAAATGAAAAAAACAACCATGGCATAAGGGAATCTTAAATGATACATAGTTATGTATCTGGCATACTGCAAAAATAAGAATAACGATGAAATATAAAATAGTTATATAGTAATATATATGATCACTGAATGATTGCACAATGAAAATCAATAAATGATATTTATATACTTAATATATACTGAACACCCCTACTGATGACAGCCAGCAGTAATATCAATACCCTAACCATGTATAGTTTGTTAGAAACTACAATTAAAAGAATAGAACGGCGTTTCTGAGAAATACATTTGGGTGAAATGACAATGCTAACAATCATTGGGTCTGATGGAAGACAGTTTACAAGAGGTAAAAGCAAAGTCAATTTAGAGTTAGAAAATATACATGAAAAAAATGTAACTTAATCTTTAAGTTTTCAGTTTTTAAATGATTTTTAATTTTTTCCCTGGAGATGTATGATTCCATCTAATTTATCTGGTATGAGTATTTGTTGAGGATTTTTATGAGACATTTTTCATTTTTATTAATTTATGTATTTCATACTATGAGTTTGATTTTCGGAAAGATGTATATGTGAATCACCCATATGACCAAATGCTAATATTTGTATTTGTTTTATTTAATTTTTTAAATTTTTATTACTTTAAGCTTTCTGGACTTGTAGTTAAAAGACTTAAGGCTGCTGGAATGCAGCTTCCCTTGTTTGAGTAACCAAGGGCTCTGATCACTGTTTCACTTGGGATTTGGGAGACTTACATCAAATGTACTCAGTCGGAGTATAGGGGATCTATTACAGAACCCATTTCGCCAGGGATTCAAGGGGTGAGAGAGGTCAGGCAAAGTGGGAGAAAAGAGGGTGGGGAGGAGAAAGGTAGGTGAAAATGGAGATGTTACTTAGGCAACAAAAGTCAGGGACAATATGCCACTGGAAGAGAGGGTCGTGAGTTTACGGCATCCCATCCCAGCGTTATAGCAGTGAGCCTGTTGGGTGGTTGTCAATAGTTAGAGTATGGCCAGTAGGTTAAAGATGGTTTAAATTTTCAGATTCATAGCCCCTTAAGGCAGGGGTTCTCAACCCAGTCCTCGGGACCCCCTACCAGTCCAGGATTTGGGGATTACCTGCGTGTGTCTAAGGTGTTTAGAAAAAGGGGAAAAAAAACACCTTAGACTCTAAGGTGTTTTTTTTTTCTTTTTCTAAACACCTTAGACACACCCAGGTAATCCCTAAACCCTGGACTGGTAGGGGGTCCTGAGGACTAACGTTGAGAACCCCTGCCTTAAGGGAACAGTATAAAGTTAGGAATACAAATGTGTATGTCTAACGCTATTGTTCTCTGCTGGTCTTTTAGGTGACTGGTGTCCAATTGCCAAGCAAAAAAAATACGTTTTACTTACCTTTTCTTCCTCGCAGCAAAGGTTTCAGTGGCTGGTCCCACCTCCTTAGCTGAGATCATCAAGATTGATCATTTCAGCAAATCCAATGCATTCCCACAGCAAAGCAATGGGAGGCAAGTGAGGCAAAATGCCACTTTGTGCCAATCAGATGGTCTCCAATCAGATTGCTTTAACATTTCTGCAGAGGTGCATTTAGTGACTGCCCGAGTGGCAGCCACTAGAGGTACTTAGACTCTGCAATGAAGACCGGGATGCTAACTGTTACACCCAGGTGACAGAGGGGAACCTAGTTATGCCAATATGTAGATAATGGTGCAGTTGTGGAGATACCTGGGTCTCCCTGGTGTGAGCACCACCAACTTGTAGCAATATGCATATAAATGCCTGTTTAAAAGGCTATAAGCCCCCCATCTACATCAGGGGAGGCACCCTTGGGCGCTAACCATTCATCAATCTTGTGAGTTATATTCTACTCAGCGCACTTATACTTTATTAAACAGTGTTGCATTATTGTTTTATTTAGCTTTTTGAAGATCCACAGCTGTATCCTCATTCTGTATATATCTATTCTGATACCTGGGTGTCCCTGATGTGAGCACCACCACATTGTAGCAATAGGCAAATAAATGTTTGTTTCGAAGGCTACAAACAGTGCTCCCTTAGACTGCTGGATACACCACATCTGTCAGTCTGGGGTCACTTGAAATTGCCCTAGACAGAGGGAATCCCCAGGTATCATTTGACTTCACAATGAGCAGACATATTTAAATAGTTAGCAGGATTCCCTATAGAAGTTGGCTTTTACGAATTTCTTAAAGTACTCTGGACTTGAGGTAATTTCCCGTAAAAATGGTGCAGAGAATTCAGGATTAAGTGTCTGATCAGAATATAGATTTAGAGAAATTATCAGAGAAGCTGAGGTGGGACATATTTGATAATAATCAAGGATACATTGTCATTGTATATCTACAGGTCACAAAAAGGTTGTAGCCTTCTCTGTTCTGCCTAAAATTGAGGATCAAAAAGCAGGCCAGTCGACTGTCTTAGGGCACCTCATTGGAGTGGTGCAAAAGTCATCCTGCTGAATGTGCAGGTTTGTAAGAATGTGTGTGAGTATATGTATGTACTGTATGTGTGAAAATGTGTGTCAGTGTAAGTGTGTGTGTGTGTCAGTGTATGCCTGTCAGTGAGAATGTGTGTGGTGGTAAAAGAGTATGCATAAAATAAGTGTATATTAAAGGGACACTATAGGCATCAAAACAACCTTAGCTTAATGAACTAGTTTTGGTGTATAGACATTCCCCTGCAGTTTCACTGCTCAATTATCTGCCATTTAGGAGTTATATCACTTTGTTTATACAGTCCTACTCACACCTCTCTGCATTTGACTCTAATGTTTAAAATTTCTTATCTCCTATTCTGTTAATAACCTTCTATACCCTGTGTGTAATTAAAGTTCAATTTACAGAGCATGAGCTACAAGCTTCTAAGTTAACATTTGAATGAAAATAAAATATTTTTGGTCACGCAGGCTGTGTGAGTCGCAGACAGGGGAAATGTGGCTAGGGCTGTATAAAAAGAAACTAAGTGATTTAACTTCTAAATGGCAGAGGTTTGAGCAGAGAGACTGCAGGTGCACGATCTATACACGCAAACTGCTTCAATAAGTTAAAATAGTTTTGATGCCTATGGTGTCCCTTTAAATTGCATCTTTACATTGTGATAGCAGAAATGCTAGCATATGTACAGATTCTAATTGAAAACTTTGCAAAAGTATGGTCCCTCCCCCACTCGTCATTAAATCCTAGAACTGTACGTCAGCAGCACATAGATTGAGTGACAGGTAGTTTTCTTGCTCCCTGTCACTGTGTTACTCCCCCAGCAGGTGTTTCTCACACTTGTTGGGGGAGTACCCGATGCGCATATGCCAATGTGCTAGTTGGGAACCCAGCATTTTAGCCTTAGCACTGGGGATTGCCACGCTTAGGGAAGTGTCACCAAGCAGGGCAAATCACTTCACACTCCACACAGTCTAACCTCATATACAATCATGCTCAGCCAACTCCACACAATCACACTCAGCCAGTCACACACATATACATATCACTCTCAGCTAACCAAAACAATCACACTCAGCCAAGCTTCACAATGGCCTCAGCCACCACTCACATGTAACTTCCCTTCATTGCCCCAATAAGGGGCTAACTTATCTGATTCTTGCACTGAGCCCTGTGGTGCCTAGTTATGCCAATGTAAGGATATGTAGATAATGGTGCAGTTGTAGAGATCATGGCAGGTTACAAGGTTTGTGAATTTGATCTTGAATGATATAGGAAGTCATTACGGTGAGTGGTTTGGGAAGAGGTAAGAAAGATACAATGAACTGAAGAATCGATTATTGTTTATAGGGGAGATCTGGGAATGAACATTGATTGCAGAAACTGGGCCAGGAGATGATGAGAATGTGAAGGTTCCTTGGGTTTACCTTGAGTTAGACTAGATGTGGGCCATGTTTTTACAATGGCAGCAGCAGGAATTAGAGATGGATGAATGACGGGAAGCATGGATCATAGATAATTATTTTCAAGGAGACCCGAAATTACACAAGATCCTTATACAGTGGAAGGCTGTTTGAGAACCAATTTGTTCGAAAACAGAATCATAATTTTCCATAAGAATTATTGTAAATTAGATTAACCTGTTCCAGACCTCCAAAATTACAGCATTTTAACACAAATGTTACAGTTTAATAATACCTTACATGCATAAAATCATACAGAAAAACAATAAACACAATGGAAATGAAATGAAAATTTAACTTCACTTTACATGTCAGCTCTGTTTGTTGACAGAATGGAGCTCTGTTTGCTGACAGAATGGAGCTCTGTTCACTTTGTCTAGTTCTAGCAGGTGGATGCGTTCCACTGTTCTCTATTATATCTCAGTTGCAGTTCTAAGATTTTGAACATTGAAGCCATGGCATTATTAGGTCACCTCATTAGTATATTCATAGAAGTAAAAACCACAGCCCTATTTTATTCTTGATGTACTGTAGGGTTGTATGCAAATTTCTTACGGGTTGAGTTTTAAATGTGTGACTTTTTTGGTTAATGATTTAGCTGTAAATTCCAGTCCGAAGCACAGGAAGAGAAACAATTTGTTATCTCGCACTTTCCTTTGATTTGTGAAATAATCATAGCACACAAAATGTCGAAGGAAAACCACACTTTGAAATTAGACCACACTCAACTCAATGTACTGGAAAGAAACCCACAAGTGAGGGCTGAATAGCTATAAAATGACGGGGACTGGGTCTGCAAAGCTCAGAGAACTTATTTGAAGACCATCCCTTCACAAGAGAAGAATAAGCTGTTACAATACTATGGAGAGACGTTGTAGACCTTTCATGGTAAGCATTCTTTGGCACAACATTTGTTCTAAGAGATATTGCTTTATTCATGTTGCAGTACTTATTAATGACTTATAACTGGATTGAGTTAGAACAGATCTACTTGGTTTAGAAAAATGTATTAATTGCTCTGTTAGATTTATAATAATGATATATGATTGCACTCACTAATTTTAGCACCATTAAAAAGCTGGGAGATATGCTTTAGAATAGCATTTTTACTATTTAGCATTTTTAAAAGCGTATTTCTTATATACCCTGACCTTCGTCTCTCACTTAGAACACATGTCCTTCATCCTACCTGAGTGGAATGTTCATTTTGATTTTATAAATATTTTGTCACTTGTTTGTAATTGAATTCTAAGGGAGGCCGGATCTGTTTACTGCTGGATTTACTTTAAATAACGTACTGAAAATTGTAAAAGTAATCCTGTCTGTTTTTAAAATCTTGGCTGTATATAAAACATAATGACACTTTTTTATATAATTTTATCCAGTTCCCACTCACTTTGTTGGTACTTACTCTGGGAGTCAGCATGTTGGATTCTGCACAAGGCCTGGCCTTGCATCATCTCAACAAAAAATGCCATCATACAAGAGATTCAATGTTACCACCAGTGATTAGTGTCTCGTTGAACATCACAGGCCAATCAATGCAAGCGGGTCCTGATGTCAGCAAGCGATCTCTCTCTCCTTGGGATTACAGGTAAAGTTAACTCAAAAGATAATACTCATCAAATTTAGAATTTTCTTTTTTCTAAAATTTTTTAGTTTCACTTTTTTATCTGGCTGAGCAGCTATGTTAGATCAGACACCACTGTTTAACCAGCTGCCGCTCAACCTAACTAGCCGTCCACTGCAGTTTCACATAGAACATTCAGCAGCAGCTAATCAGATAAAAGAAGAGTCTGACCCAACATGGCCACCAAGCTAGATAAAAAATGACATTTTCTAAAAATCATTATCAATACGTTAGAGTTGACCTTTAAAAAAACCAAAACAGTGAAGCATATAAAGAAATTCTTTAATTTCGAGTCGAGTCTTTTGTTTGCATAAATCTCTCTTTTTTTTGTGAAAAAAATATGTGTTCACTGCAACCACATATCATATATTATGCAAAGTTTTTTGTTAAAACACAGCATAACATGTATTGGAAACATTGAATTCATAGTTTGAATATATGATTAAACACCGTTTCCGTGCACATATTACTATGTAGGGATAACAACATAAAACAATGTAATTCTACACAATTTTAATTTTCAAATGGTAGTATAATCACCTTTTTAAAACCATACATGGAACTCCTAATCGTGCAATATTATGGACATGATGAGAAATAGAAGTAGAATTAAACAGAGCTATTTACAAACGTGAGAATTCCAAGTGAATTCAAATTAATTTCAAATTTAAGGCCAAAATAACTGCATTGGAAGCATAGCTGACTTAGAGAATTTTTCCAGCTTGGCTATTTTGACATTATATTTTAAATTTACTTTGAATTCACTTGGAATTCTCCCTTTAGTGAATAAACCTGATAGATAAAAATCCCAAATTATTGGTGTATTTCAAACTAAGCAGATGGCATTTCTGGGAATGCAAATTCCTAACCTGCTGTCCTATTGGAAAATAATTTATGCATTCAGATATATAATATCCACATAAAGTATGCAAGAGTTCATCAATCTTTTTTATATATTTCTATGTATATATATAAAAATCTTATCTGCAGTTCCTTTATCAGTCTCATGTTAGTTAATAAAGCCAACTAGATTTTATATTATTTCTTATAGTACATCTCATTGCCTACTTGACGTATTTAGTCGAATAAAAATATAAAATAATAAAAATGATTTGGTTCACAATAGATTTATCTTCTTTGTCTTTTAGCTATGATGTAGAGCCCACCAGATACCCGTCAAGAATTGCTATTGCTAAATGCCGCCATCAGCAGTGTGTGGATGCTGATGGTAAATTGATGGATAGCGGAAATTCCGTTGAGATCAGACAGGAGATCTTGGTCCTGTATCGAGAAATGAAAGACTGTAAACCGACCTACAGACTGCAGAAGAAGATGGTTACTGTGGGCTGTACTTGTGTCCAACCTATCACAACCTACATAATGTAAGAAACCAACTCTCCCTGGAGTCATCAGAGAAATCCTTATAAGTGAAATCGGAATATTTCCCAGTTAACTTAGATGCATTGTGCTAATGCATTGTAAATGTAACACTTTGAAAGTGTGACTTGTAACAATGTATGTTTCATTGTTTGGGGTATTAATATTTTTATTGCGTATTTATACAATTAATGTTCTCTGTGGAATTCATCTACACATATTTAATTCTATTTATTACAACTATATTTAAGAAAAATAAATCTAATAAATAAAACTTAAAACACCAACATCTCTGTTGTAAGTTTATAAAATGACCTGGAATATGTGTTGCAAAAGAGCTGGGGAAAAAAAAAGATTAGATAGATTAAAGATGAGATAATAAATCAGTTTAATTTCCCAATTTGGATATTTTTGCTTAACGTTTGATGGCGCTTTATCAATTATCTGAAATACTCAGATTATTGACGAAGCCAATGCCTTAATTCCTATGTACGGTTATTCACGAAAGTGAGAATTGAAAATTTAAGGACAAAATAAAGTCAACTAAAATTTAAGTTCAGTTACTTAAAGGCACACTTTTACCTCAAGGGGATAAACAGTTCTAAAATTTCAGTTTCAGGAAGCACTAAGTGCTGATGGGTTGGGCCACGCTGATTGGCTGAGAGGGGACAGCTGATGTTCTCAGCCAATAAGTGACTCATTCACAAAACCTGAATGGAAAAGGTCAAAGGTCCATATTCTGGCACCATACCAACTTTATTTATATGAAGTTGTTATGGTGCCTGCAATATTCCTTTAAATAATCCCCTGTTTTAAAATGGCCCGGAGGCTGAAATTTACCTTTTTTTTTTCTTCCATGTTTCATATAGATGAATTAAAACATGCACAAAACACAAATTCAATATTATAGAGTTTGAAGTCATTGTATTTGCAAGAAATTCACACACTTCTGTTCATGATCTTTGACACCCCGCTTCCACCAAGAAATCAGTGTGATCCATCTGTGCATACAGAAAAGGCTGCGGTGTCGGACTTCTATCTTTTGCACAATGATACCCTTTTTCTATCATCAGGGGACTGGTCTAAAACGGAACTGGGTTTTTAATGGGGGCTAAATAAACTTTTTTTTAAATCTCCTTTGGGGGTCAGCTGTTTCCATTCACACCTTAGTTTAGCTTGAGTACAGTCCTGGCCCACAGTTTGCATTTCTAACACCTCCTATAACCTGTATATTTTAACCCCTTAGTGACCAAGGACGTGCAAAAGAAGACAACCCAATGTATTGCAAATGGGATATATTCAGTCTTTTTTAATAGCCACTTCTTGCAAACACTGTTATGGGCAAATGCAAATATTGTATTTCTTAAACTGTGTACTTTTCTTTAAGAGATATTGCAAACTGACAAGGTGTTAGAAATGGAATATTGTTTTTCATAACTGTTTCTTTAAGCAATAACCTCTTACTTACCTTCAGATAATAATATTTTTACACCATTCTAAAATGAATAAAAGTAAACAAGTTACTTTTTCATATATGAACTATGGTGACCCTAAAATGAAGATACCTAAAGGAATAATTAGGTGTACATTTAAATGTTTAGACAGAAGAGAGACTTGGAGACAGACGCTGCTCCATCTTAAAATATTAATGATATTTGCAAGCATTTAGTTTAATCTTATAAACTCTGCTATAAATTATTGGAATGGATTTTATATGTCTATATTTATATTTTTAAATAATAAATATCTAAAAGACAAAACTTTATTGCTTCCAAGACAATCCTTATTTTATATTGTATTCTCAATTATTTATATATTTTAAATAGAGGATCTCTTACTAACTATTTAAAATGTGGCTAAGATATCTGTATGATTAGCCCTGCTAAGTTCTATGCTTTAAGACATTATAGTGGTAAATAAGGGAACCAGCTGCGGTTACAAAAGATAGGGTTCGTAATTGTTTTTTGCATTTCTAACACAAAAACAAATCTAAATGCTAACTTTGGCCAGTGTTTGTGACTAAGTGGCTACTAAAAACGACTGGACCTTCCCCATATTGAATACCTTTGGTTGTCTACTTTTCAAAAAATATGGTTTGATGAGGTTTAATTACATTGGCCGGCTTCTAAAGTGTCCCAAATAAGACATGGGTGCATGAAGACCACCTGTGAAAATTCCAAGTTGGAAAACTGGAATGATACCCTCCAAATAAGGTGAAAAGTGCACTGGGGCCCCCCCATGAAACCCCTACTTGCCCCTCCATTTGTATAACATATACAGATACATACACGGACACACATGCTAATACACATACACACTCTGACACACGTGGATGCACAGACACACATACAGACAGACATGTGATGGAATTTCAGTGAAATGTAAATTTAGTAGGCCGAGATTTCCACGTGGCATATGTAAGTACACGTGTATGTTGTAACAGTTAGTTACCATATATACTCGAGTATAAGACGAGTTTTTCAGCACATTATTTGTGCTGAAAACCCCCCACTCGTCTTATACATGAGTTAATGTCTGTATTATGACAACTTACATTGCCATAATACAGACCAGAACCTGTTGGGGGCTTTCCTGCAGCTCCTGTCAGCTCTCTTCTCTCTCCTCCGGTCTGGTCAGCTCCCCTGTCAGCTCCCACTGCAAGTCTCACAAGAGCCACGGGGTCAGAGCGTTGCCACGGGCACTCAGACGGCAAGACTTGCAGTGGAGCTGACAGGGGAGCTGACCGGACCGGAGGAGAGAGAAGGGAGCTGACAGGAGCTGCAGGAAAGGTAAGTTACAGCTCGCTGCCAGCCCCCCTCCTACACAGCCCATCCACTGGACCACCAGGGAATGAGAGCCTCCCTCCCTGGCCAGCCAACAAAAAAATATAAATAAATACAAATTTAAATAATAATTAAGTATTAATAATATTAAAAAATAATAATATTAAAATAATAATAATTTAAAAATGTATAAAAATGCCCACCCCCCATCAAGGCTCTGCATCCCATACACACACACACACACACTTCACTCATACACACACTGCATTCATACACACACACACACACACAAACACCGCATTTATACAAACGCACTGCATTATATACACACACACTGCATTCATACACACACACTGCATTCCTACACACACACACTGCACTCCTAAACTGGCTGTCGCTGGAATCCAGACGCACCCTTCATCTTTCCAGCCTTGTGTTTAAGAGCTTTTCTGGGAAACTCCCACCCTACCTGAACAAAATGCTTTCCCCAGCTGTTCCCACTACCTATAAACTCCGATCCAGTACCAACATTTTACTTAGTCTACCTCAATACAAAAAGAAAGCAGCCCGATCCTCCTTCTCCTACAGAGCACCGCAATTGTGGAACGACCTCCCGCACAATTTAAAATCATCCCTAAGCCTAAAGTCCTTTAAGAGATCCCTCTCTACATACCTCAAAACAGAATGCACCTGTCATGGTTGATTATATATTTCCTACCTGTTCCATGTTAAATTTTATATTTATTGTGTATTAATATTGTTTTTGTAATCTATTGTACCCTAATGTAACAATGCGATGATTTGTGGACCCAGAACATACTTGAAAACGAGAGAAATCTCAATGTATCTTTCCTGGTAAAATATTTTATAAATAATAATAATAATAAATAAATAATAATACACACACACACTGCATTCATACACACACACACTGCACTCATACACACACACTGCATTCATTATATACACACACTGTAAATAAATATTCAATTGATATAATTTTTTGGGGATATAATTTTATTTAGAAATTTACCAGTAGCTACTGCATTTCCCACCCTAGTATTATACTCGAGTCAATAAGTTTTCCCAGTTTTTTTGGGTAAAGTTAGGGGTCTCGACTTATATTCGGGTCGACTTATACTCGAGTATATACGGTAGTTACATGTAGCTAAGATACTGTCATCAATGTACTGAGCATGTGCAGGAAGTCGCCAGGAGTCGCCTGTCCATCAGGGCCGCAACCCCACCCATTTTAGACTCTCCCTCTGAGTCTGAACTTCCCTCCCCACCCCCTTACTCCTCCTCCTCCAAGGTTAGAGGAGGTGCTGCTGGTGTTGCCACTCCCCCTGCCCCATTGTCCCTTCCCACTCATTCATCTAGTTTAGAGCCCAGCTCACTTGCCCTAAATCCTCTCCTTCCGGTACCTCCACTAGGTCTATATATCCGGAATTAACGTCACTTCTGGTTCCTGGTCAGGCTCCTCCCAGCCCGGCCCGCAACATCCTGTTGACTGAACCTCCACCCAGTAAAATTAACCCGCCTCATTCTCCTTACCTTACTACCCCTAGACCGGAGCTTACTATTAAACAGCCTTGCTGAAGTCCTATATTAACCCAACAGATGACTGGTTTCTTCCGACATTACCAAATGCCCCTCCAACTTACACCGGGCCCAACACACGTTGATGAAAATGGCCAAATACAACGGGCAGATCCTGAGTTTCTCTATGTCCCCTTCACCACAACTGATCTATTCAATTGGAAGACTCATAACTTTTCGTATACCGACAAACCTCAAGTCATAACAGATTTGGTTACCTCCATTATACAAGCACACAATCCTACCTGGGCCGATTGCCAGCAATTATTATTAACTTTATTTAATTGTGAGGAAAGGACCCGGATTAATCAAGCGGCTATTAAAGCGCTTGAGGAAACGGCCCGTACTCAAAACAAGGCCAATGCAGCTGCATGGGCTGCAGCCCATTATCCAAATGTTGACCCAAATTGGAATGTGAATGGTGCTGACATGCCCCAATTAAAGGCCTATCGGGAAGCCATTATTGCTGGCATGAAAGCAGGAGGGAAGAAGGCAATCAATATGTCAAAGACAGCTGAGGTGTTGCAAAAGGTTGATGATTTACCTTGTGCCTTTTATGAAAGATTATTGGAGTTCTATAGATTGTTTACTCCTCTTAATCCAGAGGCCCCTGAGAATTCTCGAATGATCAACTCAGCATTTGTCAGCCAGGCCCAAGGTGATATTAAAAGAAAATTGCAAAAGTTAGAGGGATTTGTAGGGATGTCAATATCAGAGCTAATGGAGATCGCAAATAAAGTATATATGAATAGGGAAACAGAAAAAGCGGGAGGAAGAACATAAATTGAGGAAGAAGGCAGATATGCTAGCGGTAGCTATCACAAGTGTAGAGAGACAGGGAAGGGAGGTGAATAAAGGAGCCAAGAATATGCTGAGAAAGGGACCTTTAAGTAGGAATCAATGTGCGTATTGTAGAGAGGAGGGACATTGGAAGAATGAGTGTCCACAGAGAGAGCATTATGAAAATAATAGACAAGGAGAGAGAAGAGTGCAGGGAGGTTATAGTGGTAGTTATAGAGGAAGAGGAAGTTTTGGAGGGAATGATGGGAATAGTAGAGGGAGTGTTTAAGGAGATAGATATTATCCACCTACTCAGAGACCTAGAGATAGAGAGGATAGAGATTTTGTGGGTCTGGCTGACACTATCATGGAAGACTATTGATACCGCCCGGGCTCCATCCCCCTTGACCGAGCGGAGCCTATGGTCGATGTAGCAATAGGGGGAAAGAGAAGCTCTTTCATGATTGACACTGGTGCTGAACATTCCGTGGTGACTAAACTGGTAGCTCCGCCTTCAGAAAAAACTATAACTGTGATAGGAGCTACGGGGAGAAGCGCAGCTAGATCAGTTCTTAAGAGTCGCACTTGCAATCTGGGAGGCCATTTGGTGAAGCACCAGTTCCTATATATGCCAGAGTGTCCGATTCAACTTCTTGATGAGATCTACTATCGAAGCTTCAAGCCCAGATTAATTTTCTACCCAATGGATCAATGTCTCTGAGGTTTAATGGATTACCAGGCATAATGGCGGCATCGGTGCCAAGGGAAGAAGAATGGCGCTTCTACTCCATAATGACAAGTGTAAACCCTAAGAGTGATGAATCTTTATTTGACATTCCAGGAGTATGGGCAGAGAATAATCCACCGGGGCTTGCTCATAATATTCCACCTATACATATTGAACTAAAGCTTGGGGCATATCCTGTGAGCCTACGTCAGTATCATATACCTCAAAAGTCTAAGAAAAACATACAGACCTACTTGGATAAGTTCGTAAGGTATGGCATCCTAAAATTCTGTACTTCCCCCTGGAACACTCCATTATTACCTGTTCAGAAACCAGGATCAAATGAGTATCGTCCTTTTCCAAATTTAAGAGCAGTTAATGATGCAGTTGAGTACCCAGTTGTACCCAACCCCTATAATCCGCTTGCTTTGATACCAGGTGGGGCAACCTACTTCACAGTTCTAGACGTTAAGGATGCTTTCTTTTGCCTTCGGATTGCTGCTGAGAGTCAGTGTATCTTTGCTTTCCAATAGGAAGATGCTGTTACAGGTTCAAAGTGTTAGATAACTTGGACCAGACTACCTCAAGGGTTCAAGAATTCACTTACCCTATTTGGATCTGCATTAAGGATTTGCAAGATTTCAAGTCCATCCCAGGAGAATGTGTATTGCTTCAATACGTGGATGATCTTTTGATAGCGGCTGTTACCAAAGAGATATGCCAATAAGCAACTTATGATTTGCTTCACATTCTATGGAGAGCAGGATACAAGGTATCAAGGAAGAAAGCGCAATTGTGTCAGTCAACTGTGAAATATTTAGGATTCCATATTTCCGAAGGTCAAAGAATAATGGGACCTGAAAGAAAAGAAGCAGTGTGTTGGATATCTATACCTAAGAATAACTAAGAATAGAGGACAAGTGCGAGAATTCTTAGGAGCAGCAGGATTCTGTAGGATATGGAATCCTAATTATGCGATACTGAATAATATGAACCTCTATATGAATCTATGAAAGACACAGAATATGACCCCTTTTTGTGGACCTCTGAACAACAGAAGGCATTTGAGGATGTTAAGAAAGCACTTATGAGTGCCTCAGCCCTAGGTCTACCAGATCACATGCGTCCTTTCTATCTGTGCGTACATGAGCAAAGAAGAATGGCTGTGGGAGTATTAACTCAGTTTTGGGAGCATGGCAAAGACCTGTAGCTTATATGTCCAAACAGTTGGATGCAGTGGCCAGTGGTCTTCCACATTGTCTGCGAGCAGTGGCCACCGCTGCCCTGTTGGTAGCAGAGGCTGACAAGCTCACATTGGGTCAGCAACTCTATGTGCGAGTACCCCATGCAGTACAGACCCTATTGGATTACAAAGGAAATCAATGGTTTAGCAACAGTCGAATGACCAAATATCAAGCTATGCTATGTGAAAATCCAAGAGTACACCTCGAGACTGTCAATAATTTGAATCCAGCTACCCATCTGCCCCAGACTACTGAAAGTCAACATGATTGTTTGGAGATAATGGATGAAGTGTTTTCAAGCAGGCCTGATCTTCATGATTTCCCCATCCAGAATCCGGACATATAGTATTATACGGATGGTAGTAGTTATGTGAAAGAAGGTATACGTTATGCAGGGTATGCGGTAACAACCATAGACAAGGTGATAGAAGCACGGCCACTGTCGAAAGGGACATCAGCACAGAAGGCGGAACTGATTGCATTAACAAGGGCCTTGCAATTAGCTGAAGGGTTGAGAGTGAATATTTACACAGATTCGAAATACGCTTTTCTAACCACACATGCCCATGGAGCATTGTATAAAGAAAGGGGGTTGTTGAATTCAGAAGGGAAAGAAATCAAGTATGCAGCAGAAATACTCCAACTATTAGAGGCGGTATGGGAACCGAAGGAAGTCAGTATCATACATTGCATGGCACATCTGAAAGGCAATAGTGATGTAGTAAAAGGAAATCACATGGCCGATAGTGCAGCAAAACATGCCGCTGAATCCGGGCAAGAGGAATATGTGGGGTATGTTGCTGCCCTTGTGCCGGAACCTCGGTCTCAATGGTCTCCGATATATACAACCCAAGATATGGAGTGGTTGAAGACTGAAGCTGGGAAATACTTGGAGAATAATTGGTATCAGTTAGAAGATGGAAGAAAAGTTATTCCGACATCTCTGGCTATAGAGATTGTTCAGAACTTCCATAATGGTCAACATTCAGGAAGAGATAGTATGGAAGAATCTCTCAGGAAACATTTATACATACCAAGATTATCCAATCTTACTCAAGCTATTGTTCGAAGATGTGTTTTGTGCGTACGAAACAATGCAAGACAAGGCCCTGTCAATCCCCCTGGAGTTCAGTATATGGGAGGACTCCCAATGTCAGATTTGCAAATAGACTACACTGTAATGCCTAAATCAGGGGGATATCGTTACTTGTTGGTAGCTGTGTGTACCTACTCAGGTTGGGTAGAAGCTTGTCCAACTCGTACAGAAAAGGCAGGAGAAGTTGTACGATTTCTGTTGAGAGAAGTTATACCCAGATATGGACTTCCGTGTTCTATAGGATCAGACAATGGTCCAGCCTTTATCCATCAGTGTTTACAAAAATTTACTTATGTGCTTGGTATTTAGTGGAAACTTCATACAGCATATAGACCTCAGAGTTCTGGAAAGGTGGAAAGGTGGAAAGGATGTGTCAGGAAACTCAGCTCAAGTGGAATGTCCTTTTGCCAATAGCTCTATTGCAGATATGTAGTACTCCTACCAGAAGAATGGGTCTGTCTCCCTTTGAAATCATGTATGGGCGTCCACCTCCCATACTCAGTAATCTAAGGGGGGACTTGAATCAGTTGCGTGAAGGAATTACTCGGCAGCAGGTTGTAGAGTTGGGTAAAACTATGGAGGAAGTACAGAAATGGGTGCAAGATAGGTTACCTGTGAACAAATGTGGATAAAAGAATGGAATATTGTTCCATTAGGTCCTTATGTTGTTCTTTTATCTACTCCAACAGCTGTAAAGGTGGCAGAAGTGACTCAGTGGATTCATCATTCTAGGGTTAAACCAGCGGCAGATTCTTGGCAAGCTATTCCAGATCCTGAAAATCCTTGCAAGATCCGGTTAAAGTGGGTAACTCAGTCGGAGTGAGAAATAATACGAGGAGATATTGGGACATCTTAGTTGAAAGTAACAACAGAGATCAGCAAGTGGGTTTTTTGACGGCCATAATAAAGCCTGACCACCTACCTACGTGTCATAGCCAGAGTGTCTTGAAGGGACCTCTGTGAAGAAAAGTGAGGATCAGAAGAACGACAATCCTTGCAGCCTTTACAATCGGGAAGCTGAGGTGCCGTCGCACGGTCGAAGAGTAGAAATGAGGACTTCTGGAATAATATGTTATATTATGTGTTTAGGCATTTTTTGTGATTTTTCAGGAAGGTGAAGGTGAGGACTGTTGTGGATCAGAAATGTTGATCTTTGTTATATTCAGAGGAAGCCCAAATTGTTGTTACAAGTGCACTTGGAGAAGCGAGAATTAGACACCAGACACCTGTTGGTATTCAAAATAAGCCTCTGACGTTTTATTCGTCAGCTGGGTTTTATACATTAAAAAGTAAGTGCTTACGTGCAAATACTCTTAGAACAGTAATAGGAAGGGAGTACAGATAAGACATTGGGATGAGCGTCATGTACACATAACAAATAAGTTTTCAAGGTAAGAGAGAACAAAATGATTAGAGCAGAGACATCTTAGGTGGGGGCTCTCTGCTCTCGGAACTTAGACATATATGGTCTTAAGTGTTGTTTAAGCATCAAGCATTTCCTGAGTCCAAGTTAGCCAATTTTAATATAGGATATCATTATATGACACCTATAAGCTTGAGCCTTGGAATCAAGATAAATTCTATCACAATCCCCTCTTTTGATCCAAGGGTCACCCAAATGTCCAAGGTATATCCAGGCCTGCTAGCCAAAGCCTGTGGGACTTTCATTTATTGCTTCACCATGGTTCCCTTGGACTGTGAGACCACCAGAATCAGCAGAGGAGAGTTCCTTCATTTGTTAGGCGAGGTAACATCATAAAACCTTTTCGAAGTCGGAGCTGGAATGTAAGTTAAGGTACGACCAACAGTAGGTTTGCTTTTACATAGAGAGGTTAGTAGACATGAAAAAAATCTAAAGGTTAGAAAAAATAGCCATAATGACAAATACAGCTAATAGCAAAAAGTACAAAATCTTTTATATGTTTATGGATCATAGTGCCACGGTCAGATAGGTTAAAACAGCACATTCCTTCTATAGCTTCACAGCCTAAGTCATGTTTCATTAGTAAGTAGTCAATGGCTGCTCTATTCTCAAGGATTGCCTTCTTATTTGCCTGGCTATCTGCTACCATATATTTTCCTGCCATGCATTATTATTTTCTGGTCTCAAGTCAGAGTAGCATATCCGAACACAGAATAAAATTGTAAAGGATAAGAACAGCTTCATGTTGGTGGATCAGTCGGAGTGACTTGTTTACAGTGACTGGCGTGTATCCACGTGGCTTTTCCTTCTAGTTTCACTGAGGTAGCCGTAGTCAAGAGCACTTGGAATGGACCGTCAAAGCGTGGTTTCTCCCTCCCTCCTCATCATAAATCCCCTCAACCCCTCCCTCCCAGATCTCCTCTCTCCCCTGCACAGATCCCCTATCTCCCCTGCGCAGATACTCTCCCTCCCTTCCCTGCACACATACCCTATCTCCCTGCCTCCCCTGTATCCTGACACTCCCCTGTACAGATCCCCTCTCCTCCTGCCTCCCTGACAGTCCCCCTCCCTCCCCTGCACAGATCCCCTCTCTCCCTGCCCAGCTACCCATATCTGTACTCTGACAGTCAATCTTCCTCCCTGCACAGATCTCCTCTCTCCCCTGCACAGATTCCTTCTCCCCCTCCCTCACCTGCACAAATCTCCTCTATCCCCTGCACAGATTCCTTCTCCCCCTCCTTCCCCTGCACAGATCCCCTCTCCCCCTCCCTCCTCATCATAGAACCCCTCAACCCCTCCCTCCCCTGCACAGATCCCCCCTCTCCCCTGCACAGATCATCTCTCCCCCTCCTTCCTCTGCACAGATTCCTTCTCTCCCTGCCTCCCCTGCACACATACTCTCTCTCCCTGCCTCCCCTGCACACATCCCCTCTCTTCCTGCCTCCCCTGTACCCTGCCTCTCCCCTGTACAGACCCCTCTCCCTCTGCCTCCCTGACATTCCCCCTCCTTCCCCTACACAGATCCCCTCTCCCCCTCCCTCCTCATCATAGATCCCCTCAACCCCTCCCTCCCCTGCACAGATCCCCTCTCTCCCCTGCACAGATCATCTCTCCCCCTCCTTCCTCTGCACAGATTCCTTCTCTCCCTGCCTCCCCTGCACACATACTCTCTCTCCCTGCCTCCCCTGCACACATCCCCTCTCTTCCTGCCTCCCCTGTACCCTGCCTCTCCCCTGTACAGACCCCTCTCCCTCTGCCTCCCTGACATTCCCCACTCCTTCCCATACACAGATCCCCTCTCTCCCTGCACAGCCACCCATCTCTGTACTGACAGTCCATCTTCCTCCCTGCACAGATCTCCTCTCTCCCCTGTACAGATCCCCTCTCCCCCTGCCTCCCCAGCACGCTGACAGTTCCACTCCCTCCCTCCACAGATCCCACTCCATCCCTGCACCCTCCACACACATCCGCCCGCCCCAAAAATGAAAGTATATATTTTTTAAATGTGTAAAAAAAGTACACAAAAAATGTACACATCCTCCCTCCCCAAAAATGAAAGTATATATTTTTAAAATGTGTAAAAAAAATGTAATTTAATAAGCTGCGTTTCATTCCTAAGTGTTTCTTTTCCCACCAATAAAAAGTTAAATATACTGAAGCGCTTCAGTAACAATAATTATTTAAAAGAACACTCTGCCCAAATGGGTAAACCCAACCCCCATAAAATTAATGTTTAGTAGATATGTCCCCAAATACATGCATGAATTTGTCCACCTCTACCCACACCCATGAGCATTCAGTGGGGGATACTTTGTCCCCTCTCCAGGCCACGCTGATGGGTGGGGGATCTTTATTTATAATAAGGAGGGGAACCTAGTATTCATTCCCCTGGCTCTCACCCATGCCAGTGGGTGGGTGCACTAAGATTAACAATAAGGGGGGGGGGGGAGCCTACTGTTCCTTACTCTGTTCCATTCTCTGGTCCCCACCCATGCTGGTGGGTGGCTACCCCATTATCCACGCCCATAAAATAATAGTAAGTCATCCCCAATCCTCTAACCAACCCCTAAAGTAAAGTCCCTATCTATCCTCCCACCCCCCCATAATAGTGAGGAAGGGAGCAAAAAATCTAAAGCCTGTTAAAAAAAAAATTGCAAACACATACACAACTACATATACTGCCACACATTAAAACAGATACACATACATGCACTCAGTTGCACCTTGACACACACTCAGACACACACAGAACCACAGATACACATACTCTCAAATAGACATTGTCACAGACAGACTCACAGACACACACAGTCAGATACACATGAAGTAAAATAGACACATACACACATTGCTACAAATCACTATATATTTTTTTTCATTTTTTATTTTTGTTGTGCAGGTGGTTACAGGATATCGACATACGCTACAACAGCGTGATTCAAGGTTTACAGAAGTTAGGCAGTGGCATGAAATTTCGCACATTTTTATGTATATTTATAACAAGCTTGGTTAAATGAGATACTGTGCACATTTTTTTGGTTTTAGCATGAATAATAGTCGATTGGGTGTCGTTTATATAATTATTTTGCTATTAGTTAGATTGAGGTTGTGTGCACATTTTAAGATGCAAAAATGTTAACCCTGTTTACACATAAAGATTGGTGTCTGATTTTGCATGACAGTTGGTTGTGTTCAGGGTGATGCGTAATGTATGGAGATATGCCCAGTGGGTTACAGGTCGATAGGATTGCACCTTATAGGGCGGCCAGCCAAATATCTATTTTTAACTAGCTTTGTGAATACATTTTTACTGCAGAAGGGTGGATTTTCTGTGGTCCAGTGGGAGCTGCCTGCAACAGTCTGAAAACTCCTCTTTTTGTGAAACAAAATAACTTCCTCTCACAGCATAGCTTCTTTGCAAGAAAGAGGGCTCAGCCAGGCTGTTCAGTGGCCTGGGCTAGTGAAACTCATTAACGCTGTCTGGTTTGGATATATATTTCTATCTCTCCTGCCGGTAGATAAAAGTGCCCCAGTGTTAGAAACGTGTCCACCATTGGCAAGCCTGAATCTCAAATATATAGAACTACTACAGTGTAGATGTGTGTGTTTGTATGTGCTTTTCAGTCTTCCAGGATATCTATCTCTCAAAATACATTATCGATATCTTACTTTTATATTACAGCAGGGCTCGAGTCATGCAGGAACGCGTGGGAATGGCGTTCCTGCACTTTTTCCACTGCACGAACGCTGTTCCCGTTCCCGTTAGAACAGGGGGGGAGGACAAATCCGAATGCCTTGCCTCTGGCTGGGGATTCGGATTTCTAAACTCACCTCTTTCCCTGCAGCCTGCAACCAGTGGAGTCGGCCTGCCTCTCCTGATGATGTCAGGAGGGGGCGTGACTTTCACTGCTCTTCTCCCAGGACAGCTGGGGAGTCTGGGAGAAGAGCAGAGGAAGTCACGCCCCCTCCTGGCATCATCAGGAGAGGCCGGCCGACTCCACTGACTGCAGGCTGAAGGCTCCAGATCCTGTCCCAAGGTAGGCCTCAGGGGCGGGGGTTATGCACTTTAGGTCCTCAGCCCCTGTCCCCTTACTCAGCCCCTGCATATGAGCGTATAATTATTTTTTTTCGGGGGTGGAGGGGAGTGATGGTGGATCTTGGGTGAGTTTCCACAATTTTTTACTCAGGACTTGACCCCTGCATTACAGACTTGTTCTCCTATTTAGAAATATACATCGCTACACACCTTCACTGAGATACAGACACCACTCTAAATAATTTTACATAAGTACATACATATTAACGTTAACACAAACACATTTTGACATTCCTTGATGTGGACAAACGATATATAAAAAACAAAATGTGCGTGTTTGCGTTAACAAGTAACTTTTTTGAGCCCTGTAGATGTGTAAGTGGTTGTGGTGGCAGTCTAGGCACTGGGAGCCCTATCTAATACACATCTATAGGGTTCCCGGACGGCCACCACAACCACTTACACATCTGTAGGGCTCCCACCTCCCAGTGCCCGGACTGCCATCACAACCACTTACACATCTATAGGGTTCCCAGTGCCTGGATTGCCACCATAACCACTTACTAGATATGTGCAATTTAGACATTCGGATGCTTACAAAGTTTTGAAGTGCCAAAGTTCCAAATTATCGAAGTTCCGAATTGCTGAGGTTCAGTAATTCGGAAGTGCCGAACGGAACCAAATGCCATTGGACCGAATTGCCGAAGCAGATTAATTTTTTTACTTACCCGAATTTCTGAACTGAACCAAATATTTTGCCCATGCACATTCCTATTGGTAGCACACTATGCTGTGAAGGACTGAAATTCTGAAGCGCCCCCAAGTTCCCCTGCTCAAGAAAGCACATGTACAGGCCCGTCTGAAGTTTGCCAATGGACATCTGAATGATTCAGAGAAGAACTTGGTGAAAGTGTTGTGGTCAGATGAGACCAAAATGAAGCTCTTTGGAGGAAGAGGAATGCTGCCTAGGACCCCAAGAACACCACTCTCACCGTCAAATATGGAGGTGGAAACATTATGCTTTAGGGGTATTTTTCTGCTAAGGGGACAGGACAACTGCACCGCATCAAAGATACAATGGATGGGGCCATGTACCATCAAATCTTGGGTGAGAATCTCCTTCCCTCAGCCAGGGCATTGGAAATGTTTCATGCATGGGTATTCCAGAATGACAGGGTTGTACGAAGGGTGGGGGCATGCTGCTGATGGCTACAAAGGAGTGGCTCAAGATGAAGCACATTAAGGTCCTGGAGTGGCCTAGCCAGTCTCCAGACCTTAATCCCATAGATAACCTGTGGTGGGAGCTGAAGGTTCAAGTTGCCAAATGTCATTCTCGAACCCTTAATGAGTTGGAGATGATCTGCAAAGAGGAGTGGGACAAAATCCCTTCTGAGATGTGTGCAAGCCTGGTGGCCAACTACAAGAAACATTTGACCTCTATGATTGCCAACAAGGGTTTTGCCACCATGTACTAAGTCAAAGGGGTCAAATACTTATTTCACTCATTGACGTGCAAATAAATGTATAACTTTTTTGACATGCGTTTTTCTGGATTTTTTTTAATTCTGTCTCTCACTGTTAAAATATGCCTACCATTAACATTATAGACTAATTATTTCTTTGTCAGTGGACAAGTGTTCAGAATCAGCAGGGGATCAAATACTTTTTTCCCTCACTGTACATAAAAAAGGTTGAGTCAACATACTAGCATGTGGCACTGTGACATAGTTACAGACATATATAGAAAAAGACTGAAGTACATGCATTTCAACTTTCCAGATATCTGTGTTACTGCTTTCAATCTAAAAGAAACAAAAACCTCCACTTGGAATTATTATTAATTTTGCCAGAAATTTGGGAAACATTTTCTTGACTCCAAAATAACAGGCAGTCATTTCTCTAGTTCACCAAATTGTCACCACAAAGTGTAAGTGGTTGTGGTGGCAGTCCGAGCACTGGGAGCCCTATAGATGTGTAAGTAGTTGTGGTGGCAGTCCTGGCACTGGGAGCCCTATAGATCTGTAAGTTGTTGTGGTGGCAGTCTAGGCACTGGGAGGCGGGAGCCCTATAGATGTGTAAGTGATAGCCAAAACATGTATGATGTATTTTATCGTGTGTAAATGCTTTTCCATGTGTGCCTTTCTGGGTTTCTATTAGATGGTATAGGGGATTTGTTATAGATTACTTTTATCCCAAGTGCCATTTTTGTTTGTAGTACCCACTGATTATTATTAGGGGGAGGGGAGACCTGGGGTAGCCAGTTGGCCAGCTCTTGGGTCCAGGGCTGCCATCAGAAATGTTGGGGCCCCTGACACAGCTCAAGGTCTGGGCCCCCCGGTGCCTGCACCCGAGTCCCCCCCCCCCACCCCGAGTCCGCCCAAAGGGATGCAGTGTCTGCAGGGCCGGTGCAAGGATTTTTGCTGCCCTAGGCAAAAGTAAAGTTTGCCGCTCCCCATGTGACATCACAATGCCCCACCCATATGATCTGCCATGTTAACTAACACAGTGCTGCCGTGTTTACAATAAAAGGCCTGCAGGGACAGGCTATAGACACCAGAACCACTATATTAAGTGGTTAACTGCAGTGGTTCTGGGGACTATAGTGTCCCTTTAATGTGAGGTAAATTAGAGATTAGTGCCACGAATAATATACTAGATTGCCTACTTACAACCAGATGAGGATGATGATGGGCTCTAGCTGCCGTCTGGCTCCACTGGTCTGGTGTAGAACAGGCTCTCTGGAGGCGGTTTGTAACTGTGGTCACAAAAATCAATGTTCTGGGAGAACAGAAGGCAGCTCCATTTTTTTTGAGGGCTCTTTACACAGCTCAAGGTCTGGGTCCCAGGGTCCACCTTTATGTTCCACCAATGAGTTTGTTCACAGGGGTGTGTGTGTATGGGGGATGTCCTGATGTGTGTATGGAATGCATTGTGTGAATCTGTGTTTGTATGTGTAAGGGCTGCAAGGTGAGTTTGTGTATGTATGGGAAGCAGGGTGTGCGTCTGTAAGGGATGCACTGAGTGTGTGTAAGGGGTGCATTGTGTGTTGCTGTGTGTAAGGGATGCATTGCTTGTGTATGTGTGTCTGTGTGTAATGCATTGTGTGTTTTTCTGTGTGCAAGGGGTGCATTGTGTGTGTGTGTGATGGATGTCAATCTCTCCCACCTCCAATTTCCTTCTTCTCCCCCTCTCTCCAATTTCCTTCTTCTCCCCCCCCTCCAATTTCCTTCTTCTCCCCCTCCCTCTCATTGCCTTCTCCCCCCTCCCTCTCATTTCCTTCTTCTCCCCCTCCCTCTCATTTCCTTCTTCTCCCCCTCCCTCTCATTTCCTTCCTTCTCCCCCCCTCCAATTTCCTTCCTCTCCCCCCTCCCTCCAATTTCCTTCCTCTCCCCCCTCCCTCAAATTTCCTTCCTCTCTCCCCCCTCAAATTTCCTTCCTCCCCCCCCTCAAATTTCCTTCCTCCCCCCCCTCAAATTTCCTTCCTCCCCCCTCAAATTTCCTTCCTCTCCCACCCCCCCTCAAATTTCCTTCCTCTCCCCCCCTCAAATTTCCTCCCTTCCCTCCCCCCCTCCTCAAATTTCCTTCCTCTCCTCCCCTCCCTCAAATTCCTTCCTCTCCCCCCTCAAATTTCCTCCTTCCTCTCCCCCCTCAAATTCCTACCTCTCCCTCCCTCCCTCAAATTTCCTTCCTCTCCTCCCCTTCCAAATTTCCTCCCTTCCTCCCCCCAAATTTCCTCCCTTCCTCCCCCAAAATTTCCTTCTCTCCCCCTTCAAATTTCCTCCTCTCCCCCAAATTTCCTTCCCCCCCTCCCTCCCTCCCATTTCCTCCTTCCTCTCCCCCCTCCCTCAAATTCGTGCCTTCCTCTCCCCCCCTCAAATTTCCTCCCTCCTCTCTCCCCCCCCTCAAATTTCCTCCCTTCCTCTCCCCCCCTCCCTCAAATTTCAGGGCATAACATAACATAACAGGGCATCTGCCAGGGTGCTTGGGTGGCTGCATTTTTTTGCCGTTCTCCTAAAAGTTCAGCCCAAGGCAAATGCCTTGTTAGCCTTGTTAAAGATACAGAACTGGTTGGAAACCAACTTATCCAAAGTGCAAGCCTTGTAGAAAGTAGAAGCCTTGCTACTGTGAGGTTTGCCTATAGAAATAACATTGTAGTGATCTTCTAATGCCAATAATGTTAGATAGTGGATTTATATCCAAACTGTGGAATGTATTTGATATGCCTGCTTATAAGATTGGAATGGTTGAGTGTACACTTTGTAAATTTCTTTACATGGAAGCAGAAGTCATATTACACACCAGATTTCCCTTCTAATGCTCTGGATTTTTATTATCTATCAGTGCACTATTTATTATTATTATTATTATTATTATTATTTTATTATTTATATAGCGCCAACAAATTCCATAGTGCTGTACAATGGCTGGACTAACAGACACATAATTGAGATCATACCACTGACGTACAGGAACAGAGGGGGTTGAGGACTCTGCTCGATGAGCTTACATGCTAGAGGGAGTGGGGTATAGTGACACAAAGGGTTAAAGTAGGGGAATTAAATTAGTTTGTTACAGAAGGGTTTATTGAGTGCTTGGTAGGTCATTTTTGACAGTTGCAGGAACGGAGTCATGGGGTGGGGGATGAGAAACCTGCTGACAGTTTAATTGATACGCTTTAATGTAGAAGTGAGTTTTCAAAGATTTTTTGAAGGAGTGGAGGCTGGGTGAAAGTCTGATTGAGGAGGGAAGGGAGTTCCACAGAATAGGTGCAGCCTTGGAGAAGTCATGAAGGCGAGCATCAGAGGTGGGGATCCGGGCAGCGGATAGGCGTAGGTCTTGGGCTGAGCGCAGGGGTCTCGACGCTCCCTCCCTTGTGTATGAGGGAGGATAGGTATGTTGGAGCAGCAGTATGTAGGGATTTGTAAGCAAGCGCCAGAATTTTGAATTGGGCCCTATATCTAACTGGAAGCCAATGCAGGGACTGACAGAGTGTGGAGGCGTGGTAGGTGCAACCGGACAGGAAAATAAGCCTCGCAGTCGCATTCATTATTGATTGCAGCGGTGCAAGCTGGGAACATGTAAGACCGGTGAGAAAGGGATTGCAATAGTCAAGGCGAGAGACAACAACAGCATGAACCAGTACCTTAGTCGCGTCCGGCGTTAGATATGGGCGGATGCGCGCTATGTTCTTGATTATTCCATCTGTATACATATATATATGTGTATATTTAACATCAAAGCTAATTTATTGCTAGGTCAGCTCAGGAAAATTCACAGACGTAAAAACCTCAGCCTCATTCTTTGCTCAGGTAGTATAGATATTCATGCAAATTTCTGACCGACTTTCAGTGATTGTAGAACGTGACTGTTTTTGGTTAATGATTAATTTGCAGGTTCCACTCCAGGTACAGGAAGAGTAACAATACGTGATTTATAACCTCAGACTTTCCTTTCCTTTGCAGAATGATGTGACATAATTTTACACAAAAGAAAACAAAAAACCATACACACACATGACAGAGGAAACTACTACTTGAAATGAAACCCCATACAGATTGAAGTCCTGGAAATTCAAACCAGTGTGATGTCCCTCTATAAAAAGTCTGGGTCTGAATATGCACAGTTCAAAGAAGTGACTTGTAGTCCATCCTTCCACATTGAAGAGCAGAAGAAGCTACTTGAATACTATGGACAGCAAGAAGACACCTTTCATGGTGAGTGTTCTATGGAAGCTATGTCTTTTAGTTCTTAGACACGGCACTAAATGCATGTTACAAGACTTACATATGTATTGACTAAGCGTTATCGAAGAGTTCTATCTGGGTTTGTGGTTTGCTTTCATTTAATTTTTTAATACTGACACATTACTCATTTTGGACATACAGAAAACTATTGATTGATTAATAATGTTTGTAGGAAACATTGGAAAATGTTTGAGCTGATTTCATAAGCTATGCTTTTTTTTGCTATGTTTTTTTGTGTGCGGTTAGTAGATGTTGAATATGATGTACTTTAATATGTATCATTAAGCTGTAATTGTTCTGGTGACTATAGTGTCCCTTTAAAGCAGGGGTTCTCAACCCAGTCCTCAGGACCCCGTACCAGTCCAGGATTTGGGGATTACCTGGGTGTGTCTCAGATGTTTGGAAAAAGGGAAAAAACACCTTAGAATCTAAGGCAGGGGTTCTCAACGTTAGTCCTCAGGACCCCCTACCAGTCCAGGGTTTAGGGATTACCTGGGTGTGTCTAAGGTGTTTAGAAAAAGAAAAAAAAACACCTTAGAGTCTAAGGTGTTTTTTTCCCTTTTTCTAAACACCTGAGACACACCCAGGTAATCCCCAAATCCTGGACTGGTAGGGGGTCCTGAGGACTAATGTTGAGAACCCCTGCTCTAAGGTGTTTTTTTTTTCTAAACACCTTAGACACACCCAGGTAATCCCTAAACCCTGGACTGGTAGGGGGTCCTGAGGACTAACGTTGAGAACCCCTGCTTTAAAGTAAGCCAAAAACGAGCCAAAAACATATTGATTATTCTTAAAATCTTACAAAGATAAAAAGAAAAGCTATAATGCATGTTGCTGTTCTGTTTCCCAGTTCCCTCTCACATTGCTGGTACTTACTCTTGGAGTCAGCATATTGGATTCGGCACAAGGTCTGGACTTAAATCATCTCAACAAAAGATGTCAACTTACAAGAGACTCAAAGTTTCCATCAGTGATTAGTGTCTCATTAAACATCACCGGCCAATCAATGCCAGCGGGTCCTGATGTGAGACGGCGATCTCTGTCCCCTTGGGATTACAGGTAAGGGTTAACTATATTCTCCAAATGGGATTAAATAATAGACTCTGTCTTGATCAGATCATATGAAATCTACTAGAATATACAGTATTTAAATATATTTTTTTCTTTATTTCCTTCATTCTGAATTGTATTATCTGCCATCTTTATACATTATTATTTATACAAAATAACAGTATTTTGAATTGTCCATAATGATCAGCTTACATGCAGTCACACACATCCTCGGATGGGTAATTACAATAGTGTATTAGTTTGCAAAAATGCCTACCAATTGATCACATTGATATCAACCGGTTTATTATTAAATAACCGTGTTGTCTCCATACACCCCCAGCTAAACAAATAACAAAAAGTCACTATTTAAAATGGATTTATTATACAGAGAAACATGATTTTGAAAATCAAAGATATATCATATAAAACATGCATCATGTGATGTGTTAGATAATTTTAAAACAGTTAGATTATAAATCTATTTCTAAAAGAAATTCTATCTTGCAAAGGTCTTACTACTTAGTACCTAGAATTTCATGACGAACCCCCGGATATTTTAATTTCAATTTCATTTATATATATTATAGAGTGTGATGAAGGCAGCTTCTTGTTTGTTTAGTTTTCCACTAAACACTGAATTGAACATTATTAAAAAAACTGAGTTGTAGAATTAGGCCAAAATTACTGATTTGGAAAAATAATTTGAATTTGGCTAAAGTGACACATTAGATATATTACCTAAACTTTCAAAAATGTTTTTTAATTGACAGTAATTCAGTGTTTAGTAAATAACCTTAGTAGTTTTCCCACTATGTAAATCTTGTGTAATAATCAATCACTACTTAAACTATAGACAGGTTTTAGAAGACATTTCTTAATTCTTCATAAAATACATAAAAAAGTTTTGTTCCCATCCAAAGAGATGTCATATTCTGCTTAGTTAACATTACCAAATATATGGTATTTTATTTACAGTCTCTTTTTTTTGTTCTCCATTAGCATTGATGAAGAGCCTAACAGATACCCTTCAAGAATTGCTATTGCTAAGTGCCGCCATCAGCGGTGTGTGGATGCTGAGGGTAAATTGATGGATAGCGGAAATTCCGTTGAGATCAGACAGGAGATCCTGGTCCTTTATCGAGAAATGAAAGACTGTAAACCGACCTACAGACTGCAGAAGAAGATGGTTACTGTGGGCTGTACCTGTGTTCGGTCTATCATCCAACACCTAATTTAAGGAACCAACTCTCCCTGGAGTCACCAGAGAAATTCCTTAAAAGTGAAATCGGAATATTTCCCACTTAATTTAGATGCATTGAAGAAATGCATTGTAAATGTAACACTTAGGAAGTGTAAACTGTAATAATGCATGTTGCATTATAAAATGTATTGTTATTTGTTATTATTATTATTATGTATTTACAGGAAGGAACGTTCTCAGTTAATATTATCTTCACATGTTTATTTATATTTGTTACAAAAATGTTGAAACATCTAATAAAATAATGCAATAAGGATAACAAAATGTCGATAGTATGTTTGTTGTGTTGGCCAGAATTATGCATGGAGAGAGAGTTTTTTACTACTGTGTTGTTTAAAGTTATACTGCATGCTTACCAAGTAAATACTTCATAAAATATTTCACAAAGAAGAATTGTACTAATGCCAAAGTGCAATAATAACATATATATACATATATATATACTCATATACAGCATACTAAAACAGACATACACTCATTGTACAACAATGTAGCAAAAATAAACGTAGATATCAAAATGCATGTGAAATGTGCCAAGTACTATGCATAAATATTAAGGTATGACAATTACCTACTCTTTACCACTAGGTGGCACTAATAATCAAAACCTTTGTTTAATAAGATGTACATGTAACTAATTAATTAATACATATAACTAAAGCATTAAGCAAGTATAGTAAGAGAATATAAGATGCAAAATTGAATGGTCATTGCAAGTTTTAACTAACAAAAAGGTTTATGCAAAAGTACAACTGAATATAAATAAACCGTACGATTGAATGCCCACTAAATATCATAAGCCAAAACACAATGGTCTTGTTTAATAAGCTTTCAAATGATTGACTACAGTTAGAAAAACTTCCTAAATTAGTTTTCTACACAGATTTTAAGATTCCCACGGACTTTAAGATGACTTTTATAAATTAATAATTTGGAAATTTTCTAACTGTATTTAATAATTTGGAAAGCTCATTATTTATTTATTTATTTATTTATAACTGGTATTTTAAAAAGCGCCAACATATTCCGCAGCGCTGTACAATTTGGGAAAAAGACAAACACAATAAGAACAGACCGATAGAACAGGTAGAGGGTTCTGCCCGTGAGCTTACAATCTAAAGGTTAAACTGGGGAGATGAGACAAGAGGTAGCAGAGAGATTTGTATGTGATGGTAGAGAGAGTTAATGGTATACCTGTAGCAGCTGATAGCATGTGAAGGGAATGAGGAGGTGATTGGCTGTGGTTTGAAACAGTTGGAAGAGCATGCAATATAGTTAGAAGGAACCAGGGTGGGCAGGGGGTGGGTTGATCTGAGTAAAATTAAGCGGCTTGTTGCAGGGGTGGATGTAAAAATGGCCCTAAAGAGTAGAGAAACACAGTTATTTAAAGGAATTTATGGCTAGGAGTGGCAAGGGAGGGGGGGTGGAAGGGGTGGATGGTTGAGCAGACTAGCCATTTGTCTCATACAATCACAATATTTTAAATATATTAAATCAGAAGGCTAATATCACATGACACCAAAGAATCTATTTAATATTTTTTGATAAGCATCTCAATGGGTTTAATATTTTTTGATAAATGTTTAAAATTATTTCATTGACATAGAAAAATATCAAGAACAAATATAATATATACAAATATTTTAATATATAGAATAATATCAAAATATTACAATATTCATTTTTTTCTAAATATTAAGCAATTTAAAAGTCCAAAAAAAATACATCATTTTAAAATTGTATCCAAAAATAGCAATCCTCAAATGAAAAAAAAAATGCTATATATATATATATATATATCTAAAGCAGTGATTTCCAAAAAAGGCTTTCATTTAATATTGTTGGGTAAGTTTCCCAAATATATCTGGATAAATTTTTAAAGTGTTTATGTTAAAAAATATTAAAATAGCAATATAACAGCTACAACAAAATATATAAATATATCAAAACATATTAGAAAATTAAAATATATTTCATTATATTAACTCATTTTAAAAGCCTATTGGAAAATAGCCTTGATTTAATAAGCTTTCCAAATGATTGAATACTGTTGGAAAAGTTTTGAAGTAATTTATTTACAGAAGTCTCTAATAAAGTCCTTAGGAATCTATGTATATAAATTATTTGGACATTTTTCCAACAGTATTGAATCATTTGGAAAGCTTATTAAATGAAGGCAAAATTCTCTTCCTGACAGCCGATAGAGGCGCTTCTGCGACGCTGAATGCAAAAATCGCATTCAGCGTGCAGAACGTCCATAGGAAAACTTTGAGAAGTGCTTTCCTATGGATTTATTAAATGCGCGCACGGCTCTTGCTGTGCATGCGCATTCCGCTCTTCTCTGGAGCCGACGTCGGAGTGGAAGGAGAGGTCACCAGCGCCGAGAGAGCCTGGTGCTGGATTAATGTAAGTAACTGAAGGGGTTTTAACCCCTTAAGGACCAAACTTCTGGAATAAAAGGGAATCATGACATGACACACATGTCATGTGTCCTTAAGGGGTTAAACCATAAGTGTTATATAGTGTCAGAAAATGAATATGTATCCTGATCCTTTAACTGTAAAATAAAATGTTTTACTCATCTAATTCAACATCCTGAATTAATATCCATGCACCCTGCATCTTCTCTTTTTGTTTTTTTTGTTTATTTATAGACAGTCATGTTACAGAATCACAGGCACAACACATGAATAATGAACAACGAAATATACCCATGTGTCATGGTCAAATGGTATCTTCCAACCTCCCTTTATAAGGGTTGTAGTTTCACACACTCCCAACACATCTGAACATAAGTGCCTTTCACATTACAGCCCCTCCAACACAAATCTACTGCCCCCTGTCCATTCAGTATAGCTAGGCTGGAGTGGTGTACCATCGCCTCATTGCCTTTACTGCCTGTTCTTGAAAACCAACACAAACGGAGACCTTGCTAGCAGCTTTCCAAATGTCCTGCCACACCTCCCACTGCCTCATGTATGTCAAACTCCCCCCAACATGAGGACTCCGAACTAACGGCATTATATGATGGTGATGATAATTCCTTTACCTCCTTCACCCCTGTCACAAATTGAGTCAAAGAAGGTTGGAAGGTGCTCAGCTGTTCACTGAACCCCATATTTAGTGGCAACATTTTTGATCTGCAAGTACTTAAAAATATCTCATCAATGTAAACGCCAAACCTGGGGAAGTTCTTCCACATGTGATTGATCTATGGTTTGGGTACAGGTAATCTTTGAATACCTGCTTGTTCTAAGCCACATTAGGGCAAGGGTAGACCTGAGATCATTCCTCAAATGTGATTAATCTATGGTTTTGGCACAGAAGCTGCATTTTTTAACCCCTTAAGGACCAAACTTCTGGAATAAAAGGGAATTATGACATTTCACACATGTCATGTGTCCTTAAGGGGTTAAATACCTGCACATTCTAAACTTGTCTTTACTTTTAATTATTGGTGTAGTGGAATGGACATTTGCAAGCTACTTTTATCCGATATATTGGCTGTCCATATCTTCCCCTTGTTATTTTGTGTATTTTCCACCGGTTATTTCGTGTGATTCTTCTTTGGCTATTCGGGAGACTTCATACGAATGGAATCAATTTGTCTCCCAAATAAGGACCACCTCTGTATCCCATTACAACATTAACTCCAACCACTTAAGGTCGAAACCGCAAGGGAAACAATTAATTAATGATTCTCCTAGGTGGCGTGAATTCGTATAACCGAACACATGGCTGGGAGAATGGGACCATCTTGTCTCCCGAACGAGGACAGTGGTCCTTGGTCATCGAGTGCCTGGAACTAATTTCGGCTTGGCACTCACACAAACACCGGTAAACTGTCGACCGCTGCCCATTCCTGTTCTCGATCACCTACACGAACTATGTTCGGGATATATAAAGTACCGAACAGGGGGAGCATTCGTATCGTGAAAGCAAGATATTCCCTTGTATGGTTTTCTCACATGAACCTCATGAACACCAGCCAGGGCACCTATTCTCCTGGAACTATTTTCGGCAACCACCTCATGTCTGGCCAGTCAAATCTTCCACACGATGCCCTTCCCTTTCTACCAAACCGACCTGAGTGATTCTTAGCTATGTTGGTCACTTAGATCGGGGCTATCAGGGAATGTATTTTTTTGTGGGGTTCCTATGTATGGTTGGGGGATTTTGGGGGTATAGGATATTTTGGGGATTTTTTTGTACTTGAGAGATAATTAAATTGGAGTTTACACAGGCAATTATCTCTCAAGCACAAGGACACTGGGATTGAAACCCTTACATTTTGTGAGACCCATTGCATGGGAGATGGCATAAAAGCTGTATATGTGTGAATAAAGTTCAGTTATACCCACAGAGCTGAGTGTCGTCTAGCTGCTGGGGATGAGGTGGGAGATTCTTGGAATATTTTGCTGTGCCTGACTGTTCCATTGGATTGTTTTACTTGTTCCTGAGTATATTTTGGAGTAACCAGTGGAGAAGAGTCCCTGCTAGGATTAGGGCTCCACTACAATTATTATTTCTATTTTTTTTGTGTTTAAATAAAGTTGCAACCAAGTTACCATTAATGGCCCCTCTATCCTCCCAGTTCTACAGTGGTTGTGTTAGAAAAAAATCTTCAGTAAGTGAGGATAAGAAGAAGCCTGAAACCGCAAAACAAAATGTCCAAAAAATGAGTTTAGTGATTGTCCTTCCCTCAACAGTCCCCCTCGTATCCTCCACTCCCCTCCACCCCTCCACCCAACAAAAAATAAAAAGGTAGTGATCCAAAAGAACAGTCATCATTCACCAACTCTGCTTTAATATTGGGTGGCCACATGCCCCTCTATAATACAAAGGCACCGAAGGAGTCACCCACCTTGATAGTTCTGTATGGACAACAGGACCCAGATTCCATTTGCAAGTAGAGAATCACCCTGCATCTTCTGATCTTGCAAACAAACTTTCTAAAATATTATAAAGAAATATGACAATACATAAAAAATCCCACAAACACATTTAAAAAATACATCCATCCAGTTTGATGGCTAGCATTAAGGGCTTATTGTTCTTATAGAGAGAATGTAAAACTCTGCATTAGTTTACTATAAAAGCAATAAGATTGGTTAATGTGATAGACCACCCAGTCACTTGGGACTTGTACAGGGCTCACAACCACCACCTCCCCCTAAAAGAACTATAATCACCCACACATTTTCCATTCCAGACCATGTATCCTAGCTCATCACCCTTTCCAGTGGTCGTGGAGAAGCCTGACTGGGAGTGTTATGGGCAAATGCAAATATTACAAGTATTAGAATGAAATGTTGTATTTCTTAAACTGTGTACTTTGTCTTTAAGAGATATTGGAAACTGACAAGGTGTTACAAATCGAACATATTGTTTTTCATAACTGTTTCTTTAAGCAATAACCTCAGTGCATAATATGTTTGTGCCATTTTGTCCCAGACGAATTATAATAACAATAATGCATAAACAAGCTTCAAGGCTATACTACGACTCTTTCAGTACACAATATACTGTGGTAACCCCAAGTTAATGGAACTTCCCCAAATCCAGGACTGTGCACTTACGACTTAGTACGACTTAGTATAAACAACAGATAAGCTATTCAGACTTTAAGATGCCATCTTGAACTAAGCCAGGAAAATTTCCATGACGTATGCACCCTTTAGTTATGGCCTTGTATGTTTGCCAAGTTAAGGGAGGTCCTAAACTGAATAAAGTAAAAGAAGTGTTACTTTTTCATATATGAACTACGGTAACCCTAAAATGGAGACACCTAAGGTATAAATAGGTGTACTTTTAAATGTTAAGACACAGAGAAGAGACTTGGAGACAGACGCTGCTCCATCTTAAAATGACAGAGAGGCTGACATGATGACATGTTCAGAAGGGTATGTTAACCTATTAATGATATTTGCAAGCATTTAGTTTAATCTTATAACCTCTGCTATGATGGATTTTATATTTATATTTTTATATAATAAATATCCAAAAAGACAAAACTATTGCTTCCAAGACAATCCTTATTTTATATTGTATTCTCAATTATTTATATATGTTAAATAGAGGATCTCTTACTAACTATTTAAAATTATGGCTAAGATATCTGTATGGTTAGCCCTACTAAGTTCTATGCTTTAAGACATTATAGTGGTAAATAAGGGAACCACCTGCGGTTAGAGGAGCAATCTACAAATCACCTGGAAATCCAAATCTGATTGCGGAGTTGTCGCGATCCGGTCGCAGAAGTACCAAACAGTGTGCTATTTAGAGGGGTGATGGAGGAGGTGATAAGGCATGGAAAGTGCCAAAATTGAAAGTGACCGAGACCTTTCACCCAGCACTATTGAATGCCACGTCGAATCAAAGGATGATTGTGGCCCAGTCAAAAAATAACATCCAGGACTAGGCACCTCCCATCCAAGCGCCATTTGGACAGTATGGGTGCTGAGCAGAGAGATATCCGGGGGTGGCATTGGATTGGGGATTTGGTTTCCAGTTTTTGTATATGAAAATTGTATTTGGAGCCGAGGTGACTGGCCATTAATAAAGCTTCTGACCTGATCAAAGACATAGGCACAGGTATTGCGTAATGTCTATTGTTCTCCTGGTGATCCCCTGTTGGGGGCCCAGATATAAAAGTGTACCATTCACTCCAATAAAACAGTTCTTCTTCACCCTGAAATTAAGCCTCAGCAAATGATTAAGGTTGAGCTATATTCGGGATACAATCACTAAGGGGGAAAGGGAGTGTAGCGAAAGCTTGCTTGCCAGCCTCTTGCCCCAGGACTAAGGCCCCTTTGATAAACCTTGCTTAAGACACTGTTCATGCCTTTTGTACTGTATGGTTCGGTATTTAGGGCTTGCTGAATGGATTAGACTAACACTGTTCGTATATCGAATGAACTGCCGAACGGACTGACCACCCAGAACAGTCATGTGCTGCTTATTAACCCCATTGACCTCGCTAACCACAACGTTCTAGGTGGTTAGCTGGGTGGCCATTGTTTGTATGTGCGAACACATGTGGGTGCCCATCTTTAGCCGCGAACACACACAGCGGTGTTTGGTCGTCGAGTGCATGGAACTATAATCAGGCACTCGATGGCGCGAACACCGCTGGGACCTCCATCTCCAGTTACATTCAGGAAAATGGATTAGAATGAACGGTGTTTGGTGGGAGCAAACTCCCGAACCCGGGGCACCAGACAAGCGTACCCATGAACGGTTTATTTGTTGATTTGACTGTATTAAGTATTGCTGAAAGAGACCGACCGCACAGTCTGAATTCATTGAACTCTTTTGGGCAGGAACCTCATGTGCGGTCAGTAAATATATGACTTCCATGGAAATCCTGAACCCTTGAACTGATCTGGGTGATTTTGGTATATGTTGGTCACCCAGATCAGGGCTATCAGGGGATGTAACTTTTATGGGATTTCCATGTGGTTTAGGGGTACTTTCAGTATATTCCTGAAATGTGTGTTTTTCTGCCTGGAGATAATTGAGTTAGTACAGTCCATGACTCAATTATCTCCCAGGCATAGGGGAGGGATTGTCTCATTATGTATGGGAGTGTCCTGGATCTGAGAGCCAATGTAATTGTGTATTTGTTTCTACTGTGGTTTACTCTCAGGTCCAGGGGGGAGTGCCCCTTGCATGGGGACTTGCATATAAGGCCAGTTGTGGCTACCAATCAACAAGTTCCTGCCTTGTCTCATGTGTGGGGGGAACAGCTGTATCTGCTCTGGGGATTGCTATATCATGATACTCCCATGGGTTATAATCACTTGCTTTTTTAAGAACATATTGCTACACTCTCTTGGAGGAGAGGTCTACCCACTGGAAGCTGGATCCTGGTCTTGGGTCCAGGGTGCGTGGAAGACATCGGGACCACAGCCAAGCTGTAACACTGGATACAGGGACTGCAGTGCTGATGGTGTCTTAAATACTCGGTGAGCACTAGGAGCATCGATTGGCGGAGGCACCCGGTCGGGGTGCCAGACAGTCCATCACAGGGAGAACTTGGTGGTTACACTTGGGTCCCTTGCAAGAAGGCCACTATAGTTGAGTGTAAGTTTCCAGTTTAAAAGCAGTTTAAATATGATGTGTTTGGGTGATAAACATCTAGTTATTAAAATGTTATGTAATTGTTTTCTGTACCTAATTTGACTGTCAACAAATAAGGTAATGAAAATCCACAACTCCTCAGGAATAAACTTCATTCTGATAGTATTTAAGATTCTAGTGTGCATATTCATGCTGTAGCTCACATTTGCTACATTTCATGCAATGATTAATAACACTTAAAGTACTAACAATGCCCCCCCTTACATTCCTAGTGTATTATCTTCCCCCCTTACATGACAAATATGCCTTATTTGTACTTTCACATCTGTCTTTTACTTTATTTCCTCTGTATCCCGGGGCAGCATAGACTTTTTTTCCACCTACATACCCTGTCCTAAGTTTTATATATCGTTTGTACTTCTTTATCTGTTTGAAGTCACCCGTCATCAATTAAAAATGTCACCAACTCTGATTGACAGATATTATAATCTTACTCACGGATAAATTAAAACGTTGTTTCCCGCAAACGGCAATGTTTACATTTGTCACAGTGAGGGATAGCATTGAGCTGCCAAGACATTTACCTCTTCTGGTTAAAGGGTTATTTCAGCCAAAACAAAACAGTGTTTTCATAAAACATACATACATTTTGGTTTGTGTAACTCTTGCTGTGCTGGTCTGTCCCCCAAATAAAAAACCTGGAGTAACCCTTTAAAAAGCAATATAAGCATTTTTATTTATCTATCTTTTGCATACAACATATTGTATTTCCACATCTCTGCTAATATTCCAGAACCTAAAAATTGCATATACAAAATACATTTATCCACCTCATAATTTAAATAAATGCTTTGATATTTTTTTTAAGCCAAATGATTTTTGCTGAGAAGTGGTTCATTCGTTCTGTGCCAAATAATTACTGAAATGTTACGGTTTTATGTTATCATTTTTGTTCCAGATTTACTTCATGCTTATAAAATAACATGACCTAATTAAATTATATTCCTCATATCTCACATCAAAATGCAAAAGTTTGACCCATTTTTTCATTCTGATGCAACATATAGTTCGAATTACCACTAATTACAGACATAACGTGTTGCGATTTTTTTTCCATTTTGCGTCAGAGTAGTTTTAAAGGAAAAAAAAAAAGAGTAAATTTTTTTTATAAAACCACATAAAATATTAAAATAAATTCCGGTATGCTTCGAAGGTGTATATAATGTTGGTGTCTTACAAGGTAGGACATACAATACTTGCAAGTTCTCCTTTGCTTACAAAGATAAACAAGAAACAGATTTAAGATGAGAATGCACAGGCTACTACCACTGGTGAGTTCTGAAATCTTTTAAATATGAAGTATTTTTAAATGTATCAAACTATTTGTTCACATCTAGAAGAAATTATATTTGCATTATATTCTGTCTTTAATTTTGGCAATGAGACCCAGTGATTACCTTCCTATATTTTCTCATTCTGTAGCCTTATTTATTTACAGATGTCTTTTTTGTTATTCTCTTCTGGAGTCGTATTCAGTAAAAGATGTCCTCCTTCAAAAACCATTCACTTTGCTCCGGGTATGAAGTTTGATCTACAAGTGAATAGCTGTACTCATTCTCCTTCGTATGCGAATGAAGCACATACCCGTTCTCTGTCTCCTTGGGAATACAGGTGAATATGAATTTTTAATCTGTGAAATATTTAGCCTTACATTTTAAGTGTCATTTTATTATAACCCCATGCATGAAACCTATGGAGTCTATACCACAGGGTGCCTAAATTTATGTTGCCTAGCAACTGCTTCACTTTTCTATTCTACAGTGATACCTGTCATATATATTCTGTTTAAGCTGCATTTTATTTTAAATGTTCTTCTGTAGCAAAATAAAGTTTTAGGGGAGAATTACCAATGTGAAACAGGTGTCTATGTATACACGAGGGAATTGATCAAGACTGTTACATTACTAAGTACTGTTTTTTTTTTTTTTTTTTTAATAATTAAACTAAGTGCCCTTGATGTAGCTTAGTACAATAAAACTTTTGTAGCTTTATTGTACATCTCTGTTGTTATTTTGTGGGATGTGCCCCATATATACAAATCTCAAATGACTCCCTTTTGGGTTACCCCTCTTTTAGACTTTAACCCCACCCGGTTTAGATCTGCTGTCATCCTATTTTGGTACCTGCCACTAATCACAGATATTTGAGAATTGCTAAAATAACCACGGTTGTCTGCTAGTTTGTGTAATCCATACTTGGTTTGATAATTATATCTATCAGCTAAACACATATGTATTCAACCATGTTCTGTTTTATTTCTGTAGTATGAATGAGGACAAGAACAGGTTCCCAGCCATCATTGCTGAGGCAACATGCACACACAATCGATGTGTGGATTCCACCGGTAACCTGGACTCAAGTGCGTCTTCTGTTCCCATCAGCCAAGAAATATTAGTCTTGAGGCGTCCAGAGGGAGATCCTAAAATGGGCATCATGCTGGACAAGCAACTAATCACTGTGGGATGTACTTGTGTTTGGCCTAATACACACGAAACAAAACAAAATTAATTAACAAACTGTTATATTCATAGAAAACTTCTGTCTGACTCTCTTTCTTCCTTGTATCTCTTCCTCTCTCTGTTTCTCTCTCATTATATACACATATATTCTCTTCTCTCTCTCTCTCTCATGTGTAAATGATTATAATTATATAACTAATTATATAAATGTTATTTATTAGGAAAAACAACACTGTGACAAAGCAGTGAAACATGTGCATATATAACCAACGCTATATTATTACTTTCATTTTGTTAATAAAAATATATACCATACCACAATATACTTTGCTCTTGTTTGCTCTTTGTTTTGAAATTCGCACTGCGGCCAGGAGGTTACCTTTAAATGTTTTGCTAAATGGGCAACTTTAGCCACTCGCGATGGGCTAGGTGTGGAAAGGGGCGTGAGTGAGATCATTTTGACCGAGATGAGTGAGTGGGCATCCCTGAACCTATTTGTGTGATTATTAACAGTTATATATAGCTGACATTTTCTGTTTTTTTTTAAAGTTATAAAATGGGACTATTTAGCAAAAGTAACTGACATACAAAATAATATTGACAAAGACAAGAGGTGAAGAAAGTTTTGCAAAAGGCTTGCAATCTAGGAAGAATTGATAAAGGAACCCAAGAGAAAGAACAATTTCTAATGGTGAAGGTTGATGGATATGATGCATGTGTCGATTTAGCTAATAAAGCAGTGTGTAATGGATGAACCACCATTATACTGTTAGAAATACAAAGTTGCATTCCTAACGCTATAGAAACCCTCTGCCCTGCCCCTCCACTCGTTGCCTCCAACCCCACTGATGCAAAGGAAAAAAACCCTCTTTTTTTTTACTTACCTGACTCCAGAGCAGATATCCCTTGATGCTGGGTTGGCCTCCTCCAATGCAAGCCGATGTGGGGAAGCTGAACATCCAAATATACTGGACATCCTCTTAAACTCCCGTCGAACAAAAATGTAGATTTGGGCTCATCCAGTAGTTTCTTCAGTAGTTGGACTTTATTGTGGAGTACACAAATTTATAAAACCTTTCGGCTCCCCTGTCAATGACTTGACAAAGGCTCCAAGGAGCCGAAACGTTGTCTAAATTGTTGTACTCCACAACAATGCAGAAAAAATGAGAAGAAATGTAATGACAGAAGAACCACCCAGGAAAATTATAGGTTTTCTTAATTAGGTATATTTTCAGTGACCTCTTTAAGGACTCCAGGCCAAGAGAGAATCTAATAGAATGGAGCAGGACATTTCATAGGAATGGTGCAGCCAAAGAATAATGAGTAGGCAGTGTGGGAATAGGTGGGTGACAGGAGAAGGTCACTCGCAGAGTGAAGGTAATGCAAAGGGTGTATTTCTTAAATAAAAAGGGAATGTTGAATTGTTGGGGGCTCTGTAAGTTAATGCCAGCAGTGTGAATTAGATCCTGAGTGGAACAGGAATCCAAAGCAGTGAGGTGTGAGAGTAGTGGTGAGTCAGGAAGTTAACCTAGTGGAAGCATTCCTTACAATACTCTTATCCTTAAAGTCAAAGGAAACCAGACACACTCTAGCACTGTATGTCTGTAGTCTTCGGGGAAAGAAAGAAGGACCCTAAAGAAGGACCCAAGGCAGGATTCTAGTTTACTCTCCTTCATTCTTAGTTTAGAGAGGAGGAATGGGGCCAAGCTTAACCAAGTATATTCATGGCACCTGGGTCATGGGCTCTAGGAGAATGTCTTAGGTTGTTTTATGGATATTGGGAACTCTTAAATTCTTAAAATATTACCCTTTACCTCACCTCCATGTGGGTTTAGGGAGCATAATGTGGCATTTGCTAGTTGTCTACTTGATTAACTCGTGTGATTAACCATCTGTGGTTTGTGGAGGGACAGAGGCTGTGATGGGGGGAAGGGACTGTGATGGACGGATAAGGGCGGTAATGGGGGGACAGAAATTGTGCTGGAGGTAATGGCTGTGAGGGGGGATCAGGGCAGTAATGTGGGGGATATAGGCTGTGATAAGGGGGATAAGGACAGTAATGTGGGGGTAGGGGCTGTGATACAGATGAAGGTGGCAGTAGTGGGAGGAAAAGGGCAGTAATGTGAGTGTGGGGGATAGATGTTGTGATGGAGAGTAGGGGCAGTAGTGGGGGGATAGGTGAAATATGTGATTTTAACTTAAAAGAAATATAAACAAAAGTGTATTTCCCCTCCTTGATGCTTACCTTTGGGCAGGGAGGGAGACATTTTGATCCCTGGTTGTCCAGAGTGAGAATAAGCACCCTCAGTGGCCGGCACCTGGAAATGTTGCAGAGTGTTGCCATGGTAACAAGAAGCACTGGCCCACATCTGACATTTGCATTGTTTAACCATCTGCTTATTGATGAATGAAGATGCTGAGCAACTAATCATGGTAAAATGTAGGGGTATTTTTGAAACAAACCATATTCTTGGTTAAGATTCCAAAGATATACTTTGTGTACTCTAAACATTTTCCAAACCATCTTTAAAATTAATCGGTTATGACAGGTAAAGACAGCAAACTGTACCTGAGAGAAAAGTCCCAAGTTGAACTTGAATAATCCGTTTCTGTTAATGTTTAGAAAGTAAGTCATTGTAGCTTTTTAAATCCCTGTAACGTGACTTTTCAAAACAAGCTATTTGGCTGGTATACCGAATTCTAATTTTAGAAATGTCTGAAAATCTGCCAAATGATTTTAAGCAAATGTTTACCCACTGCACACCTTTCTATCGTCTATGAAAGTTACTTTAGGTAAAAGGTTCTTGCTAAGGTCAGATCTAAAACATTACCTTGAGTAATAAGTAATCAGTTATCCAAGCACAACATTTGAGTTCAAATTGAAAACTATAAAAAAGTAAACCCATCTTGGTATATACACGTTTACATAAAATCAAAGTATTGATCCATATTCTATAACATATCATTATAAAAGTATGGACCCCTAGCTCACCTTTCCCACTTTGATAAAGGAGTTAGACATGAAAGGGTTACTCTAATCTCACTGTAGTGGTTATGTTGCCAAAAGTGTCATGGCACCATTCTCTATCAATTTTCTACAACTTGGATGACACCGATTGGTTGATAGCACTGGACTCACTGCAATGAACCCAAGTTAATGTCAAACTATTCCTAAAAGGTTTTACCAGGGGACATCGCCATGAAACTCTCAGCTTAATAGTTATTAGCTACAATAGAAAACTGTAGTGGTTATGTTGCCTAGTGTCCCTTTAATGTGAACCCGCTTTGATGGGTTACTTTAATTAATGGAACATCCCACATACCATAACCACCACAGAGTGCTGTAGTGGTTATGTCGCTAGGAACGTCATTGTAAGAAGTAAAATAATGATCCGATTTCGTACACCCCAGGCACCACTCCCTGCCACCTCTCAGCAGCAAAGAATGCAAGGGTGCTCCTGCTTAAGAGTTTTCATTAATTTCCCGAGTAAGCCATGCCATGCAGGTCTCTATGAAGTGTTGCATTGTGTTCGGACAGTCTGGAAATCAGTCCTGTGGTTTAAGAGTGAAAGAACTAACCTGGAATAAGATCTCACTGCTTAGTATAGTGGATGGTTTTAGGGGCAATCTGGGGCTGTCCTGTTTTTAAAAGATATTCTATTCAGTTTAATAAATGATTTTTTGTTTTAAATTTTTTATGCTGTTTGTATATTTTCCCATACTTGTATTCTACAATAAATTTTGGATTTACACATTTAAAAAAAATAAAAATAAAAATGTGCTGCTGTGGATACCTAATGATCAAACTATGAGTGTTTTTATATCTTTTTTTGTGTGACTGCAATCACATGTATGAAATATATATAATTTTAAAATGCACAGCACACATTGACATGAAGTTATTGTATTATCTAAAGTAAGTTTCATAGCATTGTCTATTTACTTATTGCACTTTACAGTATTTAAATCATGCTCTCTTCATTGGGAATTGCCCACTTCACATAAAGTTATACAATAGTTAAACATATGCGATGGATTTAAGGGTTTCCTACGCACTTAGTTATTGGTATCCTCAATATGTGATGCAAATAATGACAGACCTTTTTCTGATATATTCTTTGGTCCTTATATTTCCCCTTCAGTTCAAGAAGCCACAAATTTGCATTACATTCATATTTCCATTGGATGATTTAAGAGAAACATGATTTACCTTTCTGTCATGTCCCATGTAGATCATTGCCTTTAAGCTGACTTCCTGTCCCATTTATAACAGGTACAGAATGTAGGACACTCAGAATCTAGGACTGACTCAGCAGTATTTTCAGACAGAAATATATGACAGCATTTTTGATACAGTAATTCTATCATGTCAGGAAAATTCTCAGAAATTGCTGAATTTATGGGTCAGGGTTTTTTTTCTTTTGAGTTTTTTTGTTGCATCTTGCATTGTATAATTTATTGTTTTAAAACATTGGTCTGCCCCCAAGGCTCATTATTATGGACTAGAAAGCACATTAAAATAAAATATAAATAAGGCCAAAGTTTAGATACTGGCCACCGGTTAACCAACCAAATGTTGCCAGTGCATAGTTCGGTCCAATATGTACATTGAGGGGCTACTATAAAAGGAGATATATTGGTTTTTTTTTTTTGTTTGTTTGTTTTTTTAAAACTAAATGTCTTGTTTAAATGGGATCAGGGAAAACATATTTATATACAATATATTCAGTTTTATTTATTTTAAAGATTATTTTATATTGTTCACTTATCAAGAGCTTTATACAGAAATGAGTTATTAGGTTAATGTAATGGTTCCCAACCCAGTCCTCAAGTACCCTCTATCAGTCCAGGATTTAGGGACTGGTTGTGTTTTAAGAAAAAAAGAAAAAAACACTTTGGACACAACTGGGTAATCCCAAAATCCTTGGGGGTACTTGAGGACTGGGTTGGGAACCCCTGGGCTAGAGGATGCATACAATATGACATATAATAACAAATGCAATGTTTTGTGGGCTCAGGACATACTTGAAAATGAGAGAAATCTCAGTGTATCTTTCCTGGTAAAATATTTTATAAATAAATACAGATACAGAAAGAATAGAAAAGCCTGCTGTCATCTTAAAGATTTACTCCGAGTACCATGACCTCCTCGCTGACTTGTATTTTTACCTTTTCAATAAGTAACACTGCACATACAGAGACTTTGCTGTTAGAGGTGTGAGTCTGCTAATACTAAATATTTACACAAGATGTGTCAGCATCAGTACCATAGCCGTGTGCATGGGGTGTGCCGAGTGTGCCAAGGAACACCCTAATGCAGCCAGATTGCTGACCTTCACCGCTTCTTTTTAATCGGGTATGGTGCCTATTGATTTAACTGGCAACATGCAAATTACATTACTGCCAGCTGAGGAGAAGAGGCAGGCATTGCTTTCTGTGGTATTTTTCTCCCGAGTGGAGGTTGTAAGGGGTGGGCGGATGTGACATCATGCCTTTTCTTTCCCATCAGGATATGCTCACCCAAAGAATACAGCATGGAAGATCTCCAGCAGAGTTCACTCCCTGCTACACCACTAATGGTTGGCAGCGCAAAAATCGTTTTTTGTATATGGAGCTGTGTGTTTATCTCCTATTGTATCCACCCTGCCACAAATCCCTCTCAGCTCTTCCTCTCGCACTCATGCCTTACTGTTACCCTTATCCTCCCATCTGCCCCCCTGGGAGAACCCCCTAATGAAATGTGCTGCACATGCCTATAATCAGCACACATATCATGTTTGTGATGGATGACTAATGGTAGCATGGCCCATCCCTCCATGGGGTTCTGGGGTTCTAAATTGCCCTTTAACACAACCCTATCCTAGTAGAGGAAGTGACAGGACTAGGTTCAGCTTGGGATCAGAACTGGATTACAGGTGGGTATCTCTTTTAAAAATAATTTTCTCTCTCTCTCTCTATCTCTCTCTCTCTCTCTCTTCTTTTTTGTTTATTATTGACAATGCTTTCTAATCTCTGGGAAATGTTCTATTTAAAAGGTGCCAATAAAGTCCAAGGAACAATTAAAAGCAAAACTAAACTTCACATAAACAATAAAACATAGCTTTTAATACAAAAAGAGACATGGGGTCAGCTTAAATTAAGGACAAAAAGCATTAGGCAGCTTAATATTAGTTTATTTTTTTCAGTTTAAAGATGAAATAACGGCATATAAATAAAAAAATAAAAAATAGGGAATATTTGGATTTAGGACAGGGACTTTAAATTCTGTCCATCATAGGCATTAATGGTCCACAACTCCCAGAATTTTTTGAATGCAATAGATTCATAAGCAGGACTATACATAGGACACAAGTACACACATTTAGACTGGAAAAAGGGGGATTTAGTCTTAGCCAATGGAGAGGGTTTTTACAGTAAGAACAATAAGCATGTGGAATTTTCTGAAGAGTCTAAACAGCAAGTAGATACATACTTGCAAAAACATAATATACATGGATATAATGTTTAATTAATGGGGTAATAGCTTCTTGATACAAGAAGATATCTGACTGCCATTCTGGGGTCAAGAAGGAATTTTGTTCCTAGTTTGTTGCAAAAGTGCTTTAGGCTAGGTTTTTTTTGCCTTCTTTTGGATCAATAGCAAAAACAAATGTGAGAAAGCTGAACTTGATGGAAGCATGTCTCTTTTATTTAACTATGTAGATGTAATTTATTTTTAAAGGTGGAAGACTGTGACAGCATGGGTTACTCCAACCAAAAAAAAACAAAAAGATGTTTTAATAATATAATGTTTTTGGCATTCAGAAATCTTTAAAATTAAGTATTTATGGAATTTTGTATGCAAATTGCTTAGCAAAATCATTACATTCTAAGATAGCTCATGGAAACGGAGTCAAAGGAGATCAGGTGAAAATTGTAAGTTAATAGCTGGATAGTTTAAGAGTTTATAAAAATAATTTGTAAACAATCGGTAATGAAAGCTGTTGCTAGGCTGATCTTTCTCACCCGTGGTTCCTCACATACCTCACCCCTCTGTCGATCCTTACATTCTGTATCATAGGTGTCAATTCAAAATAACAACCCTTACCTATAAAGCTCTAACTAACTCTAGCCCCTCTTACATTTCTTCCCTGATTCATAGATATGCCCCTTCTCGGTCTCTCCGCTCTGCCAGTGACCTTCTCTTGTCCGCCACTCGCACCCTTACTGCTAACTCGTGCTTGCAGGACTTCTCGAGGGCGGCTCCCTTCTTTAGCCTCCCTAACCCCATCAGACTCTCCCTAGTCTTAAATTGTTTAAGAAGTCCCTCAAAACACATCTGTTCAGAAATGCTTATGGACTGACAGAGTAACAAATTGATACTTACCAAAGTCTGTCTCTTGCTCTCCTAAAGAGCCATTCTCACCTTCAGCTCTGCTACTTTTCCACCTTGTTTGGGGGCTGTCATCCTTGCTGCCCTGTCATCCTTGCTCCCACCTCGTCTAGACTGTAAGCTCGTTTGAGCAGGGTCCTTATCTACCTATTGTTCCTGTGTCACTGTGTAATTGTCTCATGTATTGTAAATTTCCCCCCCTTTCATAATATTGAAAAGTGCTTCAGAATTAGTTAGCGCTATATAAATACCAATAATAATAATAATAATAATAAATTATAAATTATGAGAAGACTGATGACTTCAAGATATAAAGACACCAAGAACATGCCTAGTCACCTCTGGAAATATTGTGGGTCAGAACATGCCAATAAGATGCATGGTGGAGTGCTCATGAATTAAGCCAAATGGATATGTGGCAATGGTACAAATGAAACAGGGAATATATATGTGCGCGTCTATAGAGCCACTATTTACTGTAACAAACTGAAAAAGCAGTATAGCAAAATATGTCTTGGACAATTCCAGGAACTGTTGGTTTATTTTTTTTAAGTGTTTATGCTATCTTACTTACTAATTTACTATACCTATATTTGCCTTGGAATTTTATTTCTGCTTATTATTGGGAGTATTTTGAAGAATGAAGGTTGTCACCTGATGAAACACCAGCAGGGACGTGTCTACCAGTGGAGAGAGATTTTTACCGAGACCAGGGTCAAGTTTGAAGCTATATCTACCCCAGCTGGGCTGGCTTCTAGAGGGGCTTGTACTCCCAGATATCTATGGACTGTGCCCTCATCTCTCAAGGAAGTATCGACTACTCTGCCTGTCCCACTTTCTCCCAGGCAGATATGGACCCTGTCTGCCTGTGCCCCCTTTTCTCAGGCAGGTACGACTTCACTGCATGTCCTTCTTTCTTCGAGGCAGTTATTGACCCCTCTGTCTGTGCCTTCTTGTCCCCTCTGCCTGTGCTGCCTCCAACTACTGCATTTCTAAAGACACTTGTGGCTCTCAGGCCTAGCTCTCAGGAGACCTCTTATTTAAAATGTCTCTGGGACCAGGGAAAAGTGCAGCCAAGAAGTAGGTCCGAAGATTCTGCTACTGAAATCCCCAAACACAACAGACAGGACACACAGATCCCACCAGAACTAGTACAAAAAAACCTATTTCCACTCTGCACTATCCCTTTTCTGTATTACATTACAATTATGGTGACAGACTTCATCCAAAGCATATAATATAATCATATGGGGAATCATACAGACACTCATATAATACAATACAATACTTATAAAGGGGTGGGGAACACAAACACTGACAAGGAATTTGTCCCCTGCCTGCATAAACTAAAATATGCAAATCTACCTGAGTATACAAATTAACAAGTCTTGCTATTCAGCACTGCGCAGGCTCCACCTAATCAAATCCACCTAGTTGGTACCGGGCACCAGCAGGACAGGAGAGCACAAAAGAACATTTAACAAATGACATTATTGTGGTACACACCCTGCACTTATAATGGCCACATTTTCTTATACATAAGAAACATCTGGGGAACCACAGGAGTTTTCAGACATACAAAAACCCACAGTTATATAATTCCCAAGAGTGAACCAAGTCCCACATAATCCTAGCCCATGTTGGAACAATACTGTGGATCATGGAGGCAAACAGTTAATACAATAGATGCCAGAGGGAAGGGCATATGGTCTATAAGTATATATGTACCCAGTGACTACAGTCACACGAGCAAGCCACACTATGTACCTATTATCTTTTTCTGAGAGCAACCATATAGGGCTAGCTTCATAATAGGCTCTGACCAATTTTATAATATTATACTAGTATATCCCACATTATTGGTCATTCTTAATGTGAGTTGATAAAACAAGGTAGAATGTAAAATATATACCAGTTCCATTCAGTATCCATGTCTTCTGTATATTTATTTTTCATGTAGAATCAAATCATTACTAGCAGCACTCTTTTAAAGGGACACTCTGGACTCCTAAAGCACTTCAGGCTCCTGAAATGCTCTATATATAAATAATTTGTCCTCTTTTCACTTTACAAAAAGTGCAGATTTCAATAGAAATTGTCACTTTTATAAATTAATCTGGATACACCCCCTGGCTGTCAATTAGACACCCTGCCCTGTTACCTACTGTTGATTTAACTCAAGGTTCTCCAAAATCTGCCCTAGAGAGGTTGCTAGTCAACTCCCATGCTTCTTGGAATGAAATAGCCAGATAATTCAGCAGCATCTGGAGTGCCAGGGTTTGGAGAACCCTGACTTTAGTTTAATGGAGCTAAACTAAAAGAGTCAGCAATTGTCTAGAGCACATGCCTTACAAAATCTTCTCATTCTGTGACTGGACAGCCACAGACAGTCTGGGCGTTGTTAAAAGGGGAGGGCCTGTAAAGACTGCAGACAAGAGATTGGCAGCTTTTCATTCTGGTTTTAAAGATAAACCCACATTGAAAAAGTGCATAATTAAATGCATGCAAGTTTTATTTTATTTTTTGTATTTGGGCAGTGGAAAGTCCTTTTAACTACATATAGACATAGAATCATGTAAGATGTAAGGAAGGGGTTAGGGCTTGGTTAGTGGTTACAGGATGAGGTTAAGCTGCAGCAAGCAGTTAATGTTCACAGAGATGCACAACGAGAAATTGACTCTTAGAGCAGCAAAAATTAATCTAAAGCTCCCCTCCTTCACAGTATATGTTAATGACACATGAAAGAAACAGGGGGGGAGAGGGAGAGTATTTAGTGGAACTACCAGGGCTGCAATGGAGTCCGTCTGTGTTGGTGGGATCCCAGGGAGCAGATTATTTTGGAGGTTTTTTTTAAACTAGCTGACTCAAACACACAATAATTTGCTCATCTAACACACACACCTTCCTCTTATAAATGACACAGCCTTGTAGACTTTTTTGGAAGATTTCCGTTTTCTTCTCCTTCTAGTTATGCGGGAGCTGTGAGACAAAAGCTCCTTCCCACTGAATTAGAGGAAGCCATGCAGACATGGATGGAGAAGCAAGGTAGACGGAATGATACAGGGCTAAACATGAAGTAAGAAATTGTCATGGAAGAGGCAGTGGAAGCTGATATGAGGTCGGAGAGCTAGATCACATATAATGGCCAAAAACACAGACAGGGTGGATGTCTTACAAACATTGGGGGACTAAAATGAAGACATCTGAATAGAGGCAGAGATGGGTATACAAGAAGAGAAATAGAGGAAAACCATGAAAAGAGAGAGAGAGATGACATGGATAGAGAGAGTATACAGAAAAAGAGAGAGTCATGGAAAGAGGTATGAGTGAGGAGAGTGAATAGGAAAGACGGAGTGATATCTGTCACGGAAGGACATGGAACATATAATAGGAAAGGGAAAGCTTGCACCCTCAAAATGAACCTCAATCATACACATGAGAGCGTTTGTATAAACACACACTTGCACACATCCATTTAGCTTTCATCAATGGCGGAACTAATGTGGAGAGGGCCCCGGTGCAAGATAAATTTTTGTGCATCCTCTAGTGCATGGGAGACCAAAAGGTAGATCCCTATCTGTCGTACAACACCATAATGATATTCCAGTTGGGAATGTACCATGGCCCATCCTGGCCAGTTTACATTGGTGAGCAGTGCTTGTGCGTTTGAATGTAATCGTGTTATGTATGGAGAATGTGTGTGCATGTAGTTTGTATTCTCCATTTGAATGCAATGGTGCACTTTCATGTAATTTAATACAGGGTTTGTGTGTATGTTGTGTTGAATTTTAAATGTACTTTTGTGTGTTGTGTTAGTGTTTTAATGGGATGGTTTTGAATATAATTATGCTTTTTAATACAGGGCTGTTTGTTTTAAATGTATTTCAATTAGATGCAATTGTGTTTTTGTATGTTGTGTTGGCTAAAATGTGGGTGTACATTTGTGTTTGACTGCAGGGGTGTGTTTGTATATAGTGTTGGCATTTGATTGCTGGGATGTATGCGCATATAGACATGCACTGCCACATACATTCATAGTTGCACAGATAAACATACACATTCACACACACATAGATACACACACTGACACATTGGCACACACACACACACAAATAGATACACACACTGACAGATACACATGTTAACATACCTTTTATGTTTAGGAGGGTGGCTTGCTTGGGGTCCTGCTGCTGACTAAGGCTGGTAGGATAGAAGTGTGGAGCTTGAATAGGTCTCTTTTTACCATTGTTCTTTCTCCATCCTGCCTGTGCCACCTCCTCCTCCTCTCTGCCTCCCGTGCTGTGCTCTATAGTTATATTTAAATACCACTATCTCAATTCAGTTCTCTATAAATTATCTAGTTATTATAAGTGCTACAGTTCTCTTTTCTGGCATTGGGTAATCAGAATTAGTTTTAAGGGTAGGATTAGGTACAGAGTTCGCACTAATATTCATTTAGTTTACAGGCAGCACTTAAAAATGAATGCTCTGATCTGTCTAAGGTTATCATTCAAGAGAGGGTTAAATTAACATGATGGCAGTTGCATATAAAAGGTACCAGCCTGGATTGCCCACTAATCATGAGCATTTTGGGACATATTGGCAGTTACACTGATCACCCACAAACCACATTAAAACCACTGACAAGTATAGTGAATAACATTGATTATATTGTTACAATGGCACCTGTCATTGGGTGGGATATATTAGGCAGCAAGCGAACAGTCAGTTTTTAAATTTAATGTGATGGAAACAGGAAAATGGTCAAGCGAAAAGATCTGAGTGACCTTAACATGGGCCAAACAGTGATGGCTTGACGCAAGTTTTGTGGGGTGTTCCTGGTATGCAGTGGTTAGTACCTACCAAAAGTGGTGCAAAAAAAGGACACGTGGTGAACCGAAATCAGGGTCATGGGCGCCCAAGGCTCATTGATGCACCTGGAACTGTCTGGTCCATTTACAAAGAAGAGCTACTATAACTCAAATTGCTGAAAAATTTAATTCTGACCATAATAGAAAGGTATCAGAAAACACAGTGCATTGCCCCAGACCTGTCAGAATGCCCATGGTCTTTTTTATATCTTATCTTTTATATCAGGTGGATGGCTAGGTGTGTGCGTTGTTTACCTGGGGAAGAGATGCAATGTTATGCTTTGGGCAATGTTCTGCTTGGGAAAACGTGGGTCCTGGCATTCATCCTAGCATTCATGTGGTTGTTGTCACGATTCGGGGAACCCAACACGCTGGCACACACACACACACACAGAAAAGGTGCCGTACCGGACCTTAGAGTGGCCGGGCTAAGCACACACAGAATAGTCAGGAAACAAGCCGAGTAAGGGGAACCAGAAGACAGAATAACGTGAAACGAGCCGAGGTCAAAGGGTAGGAGAAAGTCACAAAGTCGGATAAACAAGCCAGAGAGTACGTAATCAGAAACACAAGGTAAGTAGCAATACTAGCAAGCAAAGACCACAACAGGGCAGGGAGGAACAGGAAAGGTAAGTATTTAAACTATCAGGTTTATTCTGATTGGATAATTTCCAATCAGAATTAACAATCACACGTGGGAGATATCTAGACCTCTCACTGTGATTGAGGCACTGTGCCTTTAACGCCGGGTCAGGTGACTGACCCTGGCGTGTACAAACTTGGGCGGTCTCCCAGCGTGCAGCGTCATGTATGCTGCCGCTGGGGGACGTGGAGGGAACGGCGGGCGGCATCCGAGGCTGGAAGGATGCCGCTCGCCGGACCCAGGAGGAGGAGGGGACTGCAGACGGCTGGAGGGTGAGTACCGCGAGCGGAGTGCAGCCTCCCCTCGCAGCCGCCCGCGGGATCCCGACAGTTGTTACTTTGACATGTACCACTTACCTAGAGATTGTTGCAGATCACATGCACCCCTTCATGGCAATGGCAATGGCGGTCTGCCGATGCTCCATTCCGGTGGATGAGTATGAGGCTCCAGACAGCCTCATGGATGCTGGCCACTGTGCGCCCGCCCCTTTTTATGACGCGGCGCACACGTGCCATGCTGTCACAGGAGCTCTAAGCAATATTTTATTTATTGGTTTTCGCCTGGCTTGCTCTCGACTGCTCTCTTTTCTGGCTCCCCTGACTCAGCTTTGTTACTCGTACTTGTGTATTTCTGGCCCCCCCGACTCGGCTTTTGTCTGTCGTCTTAGTGTATTTCTGGCTTTCCTTATCCTTGGCTCTTTCTGACTCTCCTTGAATTATATTCTATTTTCTGGCCATTCTAAGGACCGGTTTAGGAACTTTCGATCTATCTCCATTTATTTTGGTGGGTTTTCACTCTGCATGTTGGGTTGGGTTGTACATTACAGCACCATGCCGCATTACAAAAATTGTTCAGAAATGGTTTAAGAAACATGACAAAGAGTTCAAGGTGTTGCCTTTGCCTTCAAATTCCCCAGATCTTAATTCGATTGAGCATCTGTGGCATGTGCTGGAACAACAAATTTGATCCATCGAGGTCTCATTTTGCAACTTGCAGGACTTAAAGGATCTGCTTCTAATGTCTAGATGCCACATACCACAGGACATGGGACAGAGGTATTGTGGAGTCTATGCCTCGATGAATTAGAGTTGTTTTCGCAGCACTAGGGGGACTTAATCTATATTAGGCAAGCTGTTTTAATGTTGTGAATAGTGATGTCGCAAACCGTTTGCGAACTTGCTTCGAACGGTTCGCCGCAGTTCGCCACGAACCGTTCGCGGCGAACTATGGTCAGCTGACACATCCCTGCCAATCTCCGGCAGACCCTCCCTCCCAGACCCTCCCACCTCCTGGACAGCATCCATGTTGAAGCTGCCTTCAACATGGATGCTGTCCAGGAAGTAGGAGGGTCTGGGAGGGAGGGTCTGCCGGAGATTGGCAGGGATGTGTCAGCTGTCCGGAGTTCGCCACGAACCAGGCCCGGACTGGCCATCGGGCATACCGGGCAAATGCCCGGTGGGCCGCGGTGGCCGTGGGGCCGAGGCCGGCAGGGGAGGTCCCAGGATCTCCCCTGCCGGTCTATGCAGGGCCGGCACTATCCGAGCGCCGGCCCCGCTGTGTTCCATGGAGGGCCGGTGGGGAGATCAAAGATCTCCCTCACCGGCCCATTTAAATAGACCTGCGGCTGGGGAGGGAGGGAGAGGACCCGGCGGAGCTCTATCTTGCAGCTCCGCCGGGTTCCTCTCGCGAGATCGGGAGCGCTGCCATGGCAACGCCCCGATCTCGCGAGAGAGTTCACTCACCACTGGACCACCAGGGATGGTGTGCGAGTGCCTGTGCCCCCCCTCCCAGCTACCACGTGCATGTCCCCCCCTCCCAGGCTAAAGGTAAGAAGGGAGGGGGGGGGGTTTAGTTTTTATTTTTTGCTTAGTTTTTTTTTTTTTGTTTATTTCCCCCCTTAGTTTTTTTTTTTTTTTATATATTTACCACCACTTAATTTTTTATTTGTTTATTTACCCCCCAACACACAACATTTATACACAACACTATCACACTCAGCATTCTCAGCACTCACACAACACTCTCACACACATCACACCCAGCACTCTCACACCCAGCACTCTCACACCCAGCACTCTCACACCCAGCACTCTCACACTCAGCACTCTCACACACAGCACTCTCACACTCAGCACTCTCACACACATCACACGCAGCACTCTCACACACATCATAGCACTCTCACACACATCATAGCACTTTCACACACATCATAGCACTTTCACACACAGCACTCTCACACACATCATAGCACTCTCACACACAGCACTTTCACACTCAGCACACTCACACACATCACACGCAGCACTCTCACACACATCACACACAGCACTATCACACCCAGCACTCACAACACACAACACTCACACACAGCACTCTCACACACAGCACAGCACTCTCACACATCATAGCACTCTCACACACATCACACGCAGCACTCTCACACACATCATAGCACTCTCACACACATCACTCTCACACACATCATAGCACTCTCACACACAGCACTCTCACACACATCATACACAGCAATCTCACACATCGCAGCACTCTCACACACATCATAGCACTCTCACACACATCATAGCACTCTCACACACATCATAGCACTCTCACACACAGCACTCTCACACACATCATACACCGCAATCTCACACATCGCAGCACTCTCACACACATCATAGCACTTTCACACACAGCACTTTCACACTCAGCACTCTCACACACATCACACAACACTCTCACACACAGCACTCAGGCACATCACTCTCACACACATCACACTCAGCACTCACACACATCATACACAGCACTATCACACTCAACACTCATACACAGCACTATCACAATCAGCACTCACACACAACACACAACACTCACACACAGCACTCTCACACATCACTCTCACACACATCACACATCATACACAGCACTATCACACTCAGCACTCACACACACTAAAACAGACCTTATTACACAATACCACACCATGACCAGCTCACTCTGCACAAACGTAATACCACAAACAGGCTCCAAACACATGCACAATACTCTTTCCTGGCCCTTTTGTCTCCTGGTATCCATTTATAGAGACATCAGAGACAAGTTGCAAGGAAACAGTGCAAGCATGTTATTAAATTTGCTTGCACTGTGCAGAACAAATACAGGGCTTTTTTCTCATGCTAGAGCTCTTCAGCAGAGCTCTGCGCATGGTCTGCCCTGCAAGAGCATTGAACCAACATGCTCACTTTGAGAGGGAGCGTGTTTGTCATGAGTGATGACAAAACACACCCTCTCTGCCCCGCCCCCTTCTTAGTGGGCCGCTGTGATAAAAAAATGCCCGGGCTGAATTTTTTTCCCAGTCCGGCCCTGCCACGAACGGTTCGTGGCGAACCGTTCGCAGCAAGTTCACGACATCACTAGTTGTGAATGATCCATGTTTAACATACAGTGTATATTACTGGGAAAAATGCATGTGCATTTTCTATCTGTTAATGGGAAGCTTGTGAGATAGACAGACAGTCGGATGGACGAACAGATAGATTCAGTTCATTGATCATATGTATGATAATACTCATGTATTCAAAGAATTACTGGAAGTGTGGTAGGCCAGGTTTTGGTGTTGAGAATTAAATGAAGTTTCCACAATGCCATTCATGCCATTAGCTTCATGAAATGTTTTGTGGCTAAATTAAAGTGCCTTAACTACTCTACCTCTGGTTTGCCACATAAAACGTAATGTGGTCATACTGAAGTGTAAAAGAGGACATGGAGATAAAACATGAGCTGACTCACTTCCTGTCTGATAATTTAGTAGAATTACTTGCTTTGTTTTGTTCCGATAGTAAACACGTTGCACTATGAGCCATGTATTGTAACATCATCTGGGTGGGAGGTTGTAATGGCTCAATATCTGAAAAATGTGAATCCACAATAGTTGGATAAATAAAGATAAATAACATAATATAGTAATAGTGTATAGATGCAGGGCACACTTTGTTTAAGTATAAGTAGATAGGCAGATAAATTATAGCATAATTTTCGGAGAAGCACGTATACAGTGATACAGTGGTTACATTATATGTAGATATTTATCTGTCTTTGGGCATATTTTTATATGTTACTACTTATTAATAATAACACACATACGCTATAATGCAGTGGCGGAACTACTGCCAGCTCTGGGGGCCTATGCACTTAGGACCGAGTGTTATTCCCCAGATCTCAATTAAATTGTATCTGTGCCGAAACAACAAATTCGAGCCATGTCTGTGTCTATTTATGTGTCAAGGTGTGTGCATGTGTCAGTGTGTATATGAGTGTCAGTGTGTTAATATAGCATTATAGCCTGCCCCAACATCTATGAGCAGAACATGCTGTTACTTTAAATTTTTTGGCAAACCATTTTGCTTCAATTAGCTGTAGAGGATGCTCTTAAAGGACCACTATAGTGCCAGGAAAACATACTCGTTTTCCTGGCACTATAGTGCCCTGAGGGTGCCCCCACCCTCAGGGTCCCCCTCCCGCCCGGCTCTGGAAGGGGGAAAGGAGTAAAAACTTACCTTTTTCCAGCGCTGGGCGGGGAGCTCTCCTCCTTCTCTCCTCCTCCGTTCCGCCCCGTCGGCTGAATGCGCACGCGCGGCAATCACGGTGAGGAGCACGCAACGCCTGTCTCATTGACAGCCACTAGAGGATTAGGGGGAAGGCTTAACCCATTAATAAACATAGCAGTTTCTCTGAAACTGCTATGTTTATAAAAAAATGGGTTAATCCTAGAAGGACCTGGCACCCAGACCACTTCATTAAGCTGAAATGGTCTGGGTGCCTAGAGTGGTCCTTTAAGGATTAGCCACCATTAAAAGGAACCACCTGGAGAACTCAGAACAACATCCGGGTCACTGGAAGTAGATAGAATGAGGCAATACAGTCAAGTTGGAAGTAATCCAGATGACATTACTTACATAACTTCACATGACTGTTTCCTGCAACGTATTGCCAATTTCTCTCATGGCTTATCAGCTTGTCTCACTTTGCATTCTGTATTCTGTTTTTTTTTTTTAAATACAATGTTAGTAATGCGAGTAGTAAAGAAATGCGAGTTAGGGGGCACTAGCACTTAGTATAAAATATTATACGAAAAACAAAAATAGGTGAGTTGTGTCTTCAAGACTCAAATTGAAAAATAGTGAAAACACACTTATTTAATTTAAAACCATCACAATGTATCTAAATCACAAGTAAGCAGCACCTAAATTGCAAATAGCCCTTAAATATACACTCCAATACCATAAAAAACAAAAATAGTTATGTAGTCTATTCATATTAGTTAAATATTATCGTATCTACTCTACAAGAAGTTGATATGTCTTCCTTCTAGAAACATCCTTGTAGAAATATAATCTGTTCCTATATATGAATAATGATGTTATGGTCAACGATAGTGCAGGTGTGGAACACCAACAATCTTTTGGACTTTTACCAAAATGAACGAGGAATAGAATGTTTCATAAGACCCTGTTATAGTTGGGGGTAGCCATATGAGTTTGTTCAATGATGGAAGCAGGAAAAAACTGGACTTCAAATGTAGGTTCTGATACTGCTTGAACATAAGACTAAAGGCAGGCATTGTCTATTACCTAACAACAGTTTTTTTCTATTTTATTTATTAAGGACAACTTAGGTTTGAAAATATGTTGCTGGTGTAGACAGGCCAAACATTTGGAATTGTTGGCAGTTATCCTATACTGACATCTAGTGGCAGTATGTAGACAATGCACATACATTTATCATTTCATCAATCTGCCATTCTAAATTTTCTGCTATAACAACAATTACTCGCTAAGTTAATCAATTGGAGACAAAAATCTACATACTTTCTCCGAGGCAAGCTTTTTTTTTTCTCTTTCACAGAGATTAGGTTTTTGTGGTTTGCAATAAAACAAGTGAAAGCTTTTAAGCTCACTAAAAGATACCATTATCTCATGCAGTGTATTAAAATACACTCAGATAAAACTAAATTGCTCTGGGATTTGACAATGGAAACATATCTTAAAGGGTTTCATGCAGAAAGCAGTCATCCAAGTCCATAAACCACAAACCAGCAGCCTACGCACAGCACAAAATAAAAAGATATACATTATTATTATTATTATTATTATTATTATGATATCTATATAGCACCATCAAATTCCGCAGCGCTTTACATCAAATGTATTATTGCTACAGGGACACTTGTTCCAGTAGGTCTTGTACAAAAAACTGTTGTGTTCTAATTTTCTGTAAGAATGAATCAATTATATAGTCAGCTATCAAAAGCAGATCCCTGGAATGGTAGATTATAAATAGTAGGCAAACCTATCACATAATAATGTGTTTGCAATCAGCTGGTAGACATTAAA